CACATGATGCCAACTTTTAAAAAATATTTCAGCGAGTCTTTGCCATATTTATCAATTTTATTTTCTGGACTCAAAATGGAATATATGCTCTATTCTGCACAGTATCCACCAATGGGGGGAAAGTGTGCTCTATGATCATCTGGGATTTAATAAATGCCTTAAGGATGTGGTTACCACTACTCCAAAACTAGTGATAATTTTATGTTGCATGTGAAATGAAAATCATTCAGCATAATAATGTTTATATTAAAGAGTGATTTAACAAGTGTTTAAAAGATGAAGTACTCTGAAGGTCACCAATCTCTGTTAACATAAATGCTTTTCATTGCATTAAAATTTTAGCAATTTGATTTTAATATGAGAAAGCATAACAAAAAAGTTCACAAAATGAAATATTTTAGTTTGAATTTTGAAAATGTAGAGCTATTATCATCAGAATAATATTAAAGTTCTATGGTATTAGAATTTAATGTAATGATTATAATCATTTTGAATTATTCCGAGAATGAGGTAAATATGAAATAAAAGTACAAGGACAAATTTTGAGCATTAGTAGAAAATGATATAAAAGGGTTTCTGAGTATAATGTAGAAAGTAATTAAATGTTGCCATATTGAATATTGTTATAATGAAAGTAAAAATACTAATGATTCAAGAAAATGAATAATTAGAATAAAAGCCATGTAATTTAAAATTCATTAAAAGAAAAAATTAATTGGAAATCAGTTTCAATGAATGTTACAGTTACATAATGGGTTATTGTACATAAGGAACAGAGTACACTGAGGTAGTACTGGCTCAAAATCACAAACGCCTATTTTTTTCTCTAAATGATTATTTCTTTTACTCTCTTGCACAAGAAAGAGTCAAGAGCCATCTTCTTTATGTTTGAATGTAATACTTTTTGATACAGAATTTTTTTTCAAATTATCGAATGTTTTATTGCAGCTCCAAAAGAACAGTTACCTTAAATAATGAACTGAAATTTTTCAAACAACTAATTCAGTCAAAATGAATATACCCAATTTAATGGAAATATGTTTTGAAGAAATACAAAGCTTACTTTTTTGGTGTAAAATAGGGAATGAGAAATGAAATATACCAACAATGGAACCATAATTTTAATAGAATATTACAATATTTATGATGTTTTAATGCAATTTATAAATTGTGAAAATTAGTATTATAGTTTTTTATTATTATTATTTTTTTTTATATTTGCTATAATGTTGTAGGGTTTTCCTTATTTTGCATAACAAATTAATTTTAAGTTTGATACTTGTACTTCTCAACTTCCCCACACATTCTCTCGCCAGGATGTAAATTTAAAGTTAAGTGAAGTGCTTATTTAAACGGGTGAATCTCTCAGATTATTCAGAGCGTGTTTCACTAGCCAAGCTCATTTTTCGTTGTAATTTTGCTGTTATGCTAGTAAGCCTTTTGGCCTTATCAGATTTAGCATCACGCCAGTTAGGTTCTTGCGAGTCCACCTCTTAGGTGTAACTTAAAGGCTATCTTTTACTATTTAAGTTTAACTTAACCTATATTCTACATTTTAGTTTTCACTGCAAGTTGACGGTGCTTTTGTAATGCACGAAGACAGTGCCTTTCTGTTAACTATTTTGAATTAATAAAGGGTTATTTTTACCCTTCGTCTGAGTCAGTAGTTTTATTCACGCCTGTGCGGGAATTCGCCAGGTCATTACAGGGTCTATTCTAGTGTATGTGGAACAAAAGAGAAAGACTTTATAATGTATTAAGATAAGTAATGGGTGTATACAATTTTTATATTTGCAGTATGCAGCAAAAAGTTTTGAAAATCCTTTCCCACCTGGAGAATCATAATCATTTGGACTCTGAAAAAAGAACCTCTTTTTGAAATTGGACTAAACATACAAAATTTTAATAAGATTCAACCAAATAAACAAAAAAAATGGCTATTTTTGAAAATACAGTGATCAAAATTTATGTTTAAAATGTTAGAAGTTCAAAACTTAAATCTCTAGTAGCTCTTCAAGTACCCTTTTTAGCATGGTTACACACAGTTTCTGTTCTACAAGATAATTATAATAAATCCTTCTGAATTGTGTTATTTCAAATTTAATTAGCCAAATGATTCTTATATAGAACTTAAAATGCATAAACTGGATTATTCAGAAAGCTTGTTTGCCATACAATGATTAGTTGCATTTTTAACTAACCAACTTTATTCTAAACTGTACTGTCATGTTATACATTATAACAGACGACAATTCATTATTTGTAAAAGAATTTGTTTGATTTTATGCAATTTTAATTATTACTATTTTTGTTAATTATTACTATTATCCCATCAAATATGGAAAACCAAACGCAGCATTTTTGGCATATTCTGATTTTTAATTATTGAAAACATAAGAATGCAAGCAAGAAAAATATTGTCTGACATGCATGAAGATGTGTCGACAGAATAATAATGCCAAAACTGGTTTTCAAAATTTCATTCTGGCAATTCTGAAACTGAAGGTGCACCATATTTTGAGCTGAACACAATTAGCTGAAGCTCTTGAAGATAAAGTAAAGGCAATGACTGAAGCAAATGTTGAATAACAACACAAGAAATCACTAAGAGATTAAATTTATCAAATTCGGCTGTTAAAGATCACATGAAATGACTTGTTTCATTTCAAAGCTCAATACATAGATTCCATTGCATTGATATCTTTACTTTGTTTCTCAAAAGAGGGGGGGGGGATATATTTTTGAAGTAAATCATAGCTGGTGACAAGAAATGATTGTTTGCAACAATACTGAATGCAAGCAGCCACGAAGGAGGAGAGATGAATTTGGCTAAAGCATTTTGAAAGCCAATATTCATTGACTAAATGAACAAATAATAATAACAATAAAGGTTTTATCTATTTTCAAGAAAATTAGTTTGGAATAAAAAATTATTACATTAAGATAAATGATGAGCATTTATGTTATTTTTCAGCTAATATAATTACTGTATTTATGCGAATCTAATGCGCATCGTTTTTGGCCAAATGTAGCATTCAAAATTGGGGTGCGCATTAGATTCGAGTGCAAAGTTCGCCAATGACGTCAACCAAATTTAAATCATAACAATGGATTACTGTATTTCTCGACTACATTTACCATTACATTTATCGTTGACACATTATTGCATAGAAGATACAAACTGCAGAGTACGTAATCACGAAATGGAGGGCAAACAGAGAAGAATGCCATATGATGCTACTCTAAAACATAAAGTAATTCTTTATGCTGAAAAAAATGGCAATAGAAAGGCAGGGAAAGAGTTCAACATAGCTGAGAGCAATGTTCGCTTGTGGCAGCAACAGACATTGGCACTGTTTGCAACTAAAGCTAGTAGAAAGAAAGTCACTGGCCCTCGCAAAGGACGACACTCTAAAATTGAAGAAAAAGTTTTGGAATTTGTACGTGAAAGGAAGAAGAATGGACAACCTGTGACTAGTGACAACGTAAGAAATAAAGCAAAAGAGGAGGCTGAAGTTCTAGGGATATTGAAACAAGAGTTTAAGGCTAGCCGTGGATGGGTGGATTGGTTTATGAAGTGGATGGGCTTATCTCTAAGACGCCGTACAACAATATGCCAAAAGCTTCCTGCAGATTTTGAGGGAAAACTACTAACATTTTAGCGGTATTTCATCACACTTCGGAAGAAAAAGAATTTTTCAATGGGGCAAATTGGCAAAGCTGACAAGACGCCAATTTGGTTTGATATGCATTGTAACTACACCATTACAGAGAAGGAGACTAAGGAAGTCATCATCAAAACTTCGGGATGTGAAAAACAATGCATAACAGTAGAATAACAGCAGGCAATAATAATGGCAATAACAGCAGAAGGGTGCAAACTTTCCCCTTTCTTAATCTTCAAATGGAAAATATGCTCTAAAACCCCTAAGAATGAAAAGCTGTTCCCAGATGATGTCCTGATTCGAAACCAAGAGAAGGGGTGGATGACAGAATCATTAATGGTTGATTGGCTCCGAAATGTTTGGGAACGCCGTCCCCGTGGGCTCTCCAATCCACCATCAATGCTTTGTCTGGACGCATTTCGTGGTATCTCACTGACGATGTGAAAAGGAAGATGCACAGCCTAGGCAGTGATCTTGTTATCATTCCTGGAGGGATGATGTCTGTGTTACAACCCCTGGACGTTAGCATAAATAAACCTTTTCAGGGGTACGTTCAGGCGGAGTACAAAAAATGGTTTTGTGATCCAAACTGTGAATTGACCCCGACAGGAAAAATTAAGCGTGCTGCACTGCACATTGCTGCACACTGGGTTTCTGCTGCATGGAAAAGCATCGAAGCACCAATGATTGTGAAATCTTTCAAGAAATACCGCATTTGAAATTCATTGAATGGCAGTGAAGATGATGTGCTCCGGAACGCTGAGGATGACGATGATGAGGAAAGAAGAAATGAATCTGCTTCTGACGAAGAGACCTGCGAGGATTCCAGTGATGAAAACATTAGTGAATAAAGATGTTTACTATTAATCACTGATTGTAGAAACTGTTAGCTAGATAGAAATGTTACAATTTATTTTATGTTCATATTTTACAATAGGTACTGTATAGACGGTAGTGGTAATTAACAATGATTGTTTCATATAACAACAGCCCACTAATAGGTTAATTCAATGTTCTGCTACTTTATGTATAAATCCATTGTTGTATAAAATATGGTATCTACATTGAAATAAAATTATCATACCATTGATTGATAGTTTATATACAAATCCATTGTTGTATAAAATAAGATTCAGTAAATTCCTCATACCATTGATGTGCATTACATTCGCTGACAAACAGTTTTTTTTATTATTTAAAGTTTTAAAATGGGGATGCGCATTAGATTCGCATAAATACAGTAGTAGCAAAAATCTGCCAACCTAAATTGGTATCGACTATCATGTGTAGAAAAGTGTAATACTAATTGCACTTTCATGAGACTGCAAAACTTACCTTTCTTTAACTTCTTGACTATCATCATCATCAATTATAATTTTATCTTCTTCAAAGTTTAATCTAGGAGGAGCACTTGCAGTTGCTGATGAGAAAGAATATTTAGTTTACATATTTAAAATAAATAAACTGAATTCAATAATGAAGAAATACATATTAATATAAATATATTCAAAGATCACATGAATAATTTAAATCTGATAACTGAAATTCAAAGGTAATACTGAAATTTACTATAACTACTTTAACTCATTTAAAAATTTTATTTTTGTTTCATAACCTACCATTTTTGATAGTCCTAAGAATATTTCCATTTTTCATTAGGCCTCAGGCTGCAAGAAAGGGCTTAAATTTGGAATTCTAACCCTAATATGATTCAAAATATCTGTGATTTAGGTAATGATTGTGATGATAAAGGAAAATTAAAAAAAAGGCAAAAGTGCGAAAAAAGGGGAGGGATTAGAAAAATGCTATCTGATTTCTCAGACTCAAATACACATCAATATTCATTAGAACAAATTAACTACTATTTTGATACAGTAAAATATAAATAATGCAGCATTATGTTATGTTAAAATACAATTATGCTTTATCCTTTTCTAAACTTTTTAAACATATTTTAAGTAAATTTCTGCAATTAGACAAACAGAATCATATAATACATTACATCATGCAATAATACATTATTGCGTGATGTAATGTAATGTTAATGAATAACAATTACGAGTAGTTCTAAAAAAAAAAGAGTATTTTTTTAATAACAAATTCTTGATTTTCTTGTTAAAAAAGTTTAATACAAAAGCAGATTTTACTTGTATACCTCTCTCCAATATTCAAAGAAATTAACACAACTGATCTTGAAATGTGATCAAAATAATCCAATGTATAAATAAATAAATAACCTGTTTATCAGTTCAATGATGGCAATCATTTAAATTTATTAGGAATATACAATCAAAACTTCTTTTTTCTTTTTGATTTAGTAAGAATGCTTGATCATCTTAGAGGTTGAAAAAATAATGTGTAACTAAAAAATACTTTTCATGAAGTTCAAATCTAAATTTGACATCTATAGTATGTACCAGCCATAGTTCAAAATGAATATTTATTGTAAAATTAAAATTTTGCCACTCTTTTCATAATATTTTTATGCAAAAACAAGAGGATAAAAAATTATTACCAGAATGTACAGTGTTTCTTGTTCTATCACAGTTGTTTAAAACCTCCTTTAAATGACGTGAAGGCAAATCTCCTTCAGATTCATGATCTGTAACACAATTTACTTTAAATATGCATAAATTTAAGAAAAAAAGGTTTCATGATTTCAATAGTTTGTACTTTAGAATTCAACCAAAATAAGCATATGAATCAATAATATTAATTAGTTCTAACACTTGTAGAAACTAAAGAAAAATTAAGTTTAAAAATTTTGAAAAGTGGACACCATTTCAGTGCAATGTGCGAAAATAATGCAATTCAAATAATTCAGTGTACTGTGCAAAATAAAATTTCAAAAGGAAACCATTTCAGCATAACAGCGATATGATTTACTGGTCATTTCAGATGGGTGCAGATACATTTTTAGTTAATGTGCTGTTTTAGTTAATGTTAATGCTTGTGTAAAGAAACACAGCAATTTTCCTCAAAATAACATATGTAATAATTTTATTGGTATGCCAATAGAACTTAGTGTTAGCTAGAGAAGATGAAACCAATCCTTTTTATTCATGGCCGAGAAAAACTGCTGTATAAATATGACTAGAGGGAAAACGACAACAGGCTTGATGGTTAAAACGCTATTTTTATTATGAACAGGAACAGTTCTTAAGAAATACATTTTTGCTTAATTGGTACAACTTTAGGGGTGATTAACATGACTAACAATTTTTTATATCAGCATACATTTTAGAGAGCAGGAAAGGAAGTGTGGTGAAGAGACATGACTTTCCTAGGCAGCAGTGGCTGAAAAAGAACTATTTTTTAGAAAAAGAGGGGGAATACCAAAATAAAATTAAACATTAAGAGGCTATTGCTAATTTAAATTATAATTTAGATTTACATACACACACAGATATATATGTATGTAAATAACAAATATTTACAATTTATAAGCTTTAAATAATGTTTTTAAATACATCAGTATGAAGTTTGTGTTTGCAATTCGCCCACTAACTTATAATTGATATATAATTTAAGTTGCACACTCTAAAACAATAATCTAAGTGCAAATCAGTAAGTCTTTGAATGGTACTTCAAATAAGTCATATTCAAAAACAACCTCTCACAATTACAGGTACTCAAGCAATAAGAATTAATCTTTAGTTTTTCCTAAGCTGTTTCCTAAGCTCCAAAATATATTCTTAGTTTCACAAAATTTTTAAATAACATGACTTTGTAAGCTTACTAAGTTTTCTATATTGTTAAGATGAAAATAGTTAAAATTGCTGTAACAGTGTTCTCCCCTAGTAATATTAAAGAGATTTATAGAAAACTTTAAAATAGTCTCAAAATTCTCAAAGTCAACAAATATAGAACCAAATTCATTTTGCAATGTAGAATTTGAAAATATGAGTCTGCATTAATATCAAGCTCTTTCAAACTTTCTGCCATTTTTACTTCCTTGTACAAAGCAAAGGAAGTATTGTAATCATAAAAAATTCCTGGCATAATATTTCAATGAAAATATCCATTTTGATGGCTATTGAATGCAATTTAATGATGTTTTTGCGTGACATCCGTAAGCAAGGACAGAATAAAGGACGCTTTTTGCCCACACAAATTATAAAACTGTTTTAAAATGGATTCAGAAGAGATTTTTTTCATGGTGTCTGTACATACGTACATGAGTCTTGCATAACTCAAAAACAAGTAGCTTCAGAACATTGATATTTTGTATATAGGACAACTACAACATGCAGTTTGTGCACTTCCCTTTTGGTTGCAATCGGCCACACCAAAACTATATAAATATATATATATGTAAAATATAAAAAAACATGATGGCTTTGCTCTGTGTGAACAGGCAACCTATAACTAACTTTTCGCAATTTTAGGATCTTCTCCTAGACCCAGTACTTTAGAGAACAGTCTGGTATGTTATATAACTGATAGTATAAATATCGAGTGCGCACCATTTTTGCCAGACTGCTTTCTTTTACTGCTGCTATCAGACCTTGCTGCTGCTCTTCCCTTTCTTAGAACAGTTATGACATAGAAAGTCTAAATTTAATCTTACTTAGTTTAAATCACTATTGATTATGTAATTTGGAGAATTTCATTCAAAGGGAAAATGATCTGCGGTGAGAATTGAATAAAGATGTGGAATCTAAAAAGCTAATAACCTGTAAGCCTTCTTTGTCGTCATTTTGCAGCCTTCCACTCAGCCACAACAATGTTCAGACCATGATGTAGTCTTTTTGTCAAACTTTATTATTCCGGTGCCTGCCTGCCTGCCAAAATATTACATCTATTCACTCTGTTACTCGGCTTAGTGAGCTCAGTTTTTTTTTAATTCTTAAATGTTGGCAAATTGCGCATTTTTTTGCTTTAAAAATTATTGAATTATGTTGTTCTTATCTTTCGTTTAAGGTTTTTAGGCCTTTAGTTAATCTGTGTGGAATAGTTGTAGAATTATCAACAATTTAAAAGTTGTTTAAGTGTGGCTACGTTCTAAATTTTCTTACCATAGCAGCCATATTTGTTCACATTTGAAACTTAGCAGAACAGTGAATTAATTCTTTCTGTACCTTCAATGTCTTTTTGTCGAGTTTTAATTTTGTGCAACGAAAAATCTGCCTTCTTGCCTGCTGGCCAAATTGCTTGTTTTTCTGCAGAAACTCTAATTTTATGATGTTTTATATTTTTCTATATCTTTTAATACTTAATGAAGATATTTTGAGTTATTATGTATTTTTGCCTTGCCATGAAGTAAGAACTTAATAGAATAAGAAATGTATCTCTAATGAAATTCAAGGAAATAAGTGTTTCATATTAGGAGCAAATATTGTCACCAGTCTGTTTTGGAAAGAGGAGAGTGTTTAGGAGAAGCGCATGCGCATTAGGTGACCGGTGCTGAATCATCTGTAAAAGCTGTTTCTTTTTTTATTTTATACATTGTTCAAAAATTGTCACAAATTTCTTTTATACATTGTTTTAGATGTATTATAGTATTTGAATAGAACATGTGGCAATGCTCAGATAATTTTTCAGATGATACAATTTTTGTGCATTCTGAGTGATAAAATGAATGAGATGTAATACTGTTAAGTGAACCTAGCACCAGTGTCGCTATGGTAAATAAATATAGTGTGTGATTTATGAACTATTCAACAAAGTAGATTTAATTCAATTCAATAAGTTTAAATGAAATGCAAGAAAAAATGCGTATAATTTAATATTCCATACAAAGAAGTAATGTGGTGACTACTTCAAAAAAATCATCAGATTTTTACTGGAAAATATACTGGGAAAATGAGTTAGCAATTTTCTTAAGAGATGAGACCTATACAATTCTAACATTGATTTGAAGCTATTGAAAATGCTGATAATATCAGTAACATGATTAGTCCTACCCCGTAATTTCAAATTTAGCTAGTTAAGTTTCAATGTTAAATCAGTCAAAAAAGCCAAATTTGCTAACCAGTTTTTGTCTTCCAACTGTTCGTGGTTTTTTTCTTGGGATTTTAGAAACTCTTTTATTTGTAATTATTCATTGTATTTTATTCTTTTATTCAGTAACCAAATTGATAAATCACTTAAGCATGTTTCCCTTGCTCAGCCAATGAACTTCACGGTGCAAAAGATGATCGATAAATTGTGTATCTCTGTCATTTTCCAAAAGAAATTTAAACAGTCTGTTGCACTTCACTTGTCTTCATTACTGAATTGGTTATTTTTGTAACAATAGCGATTCCATCTTGTAATTCCACGATTTTTGCACACAATGACAGCTGATGTATAATGCAGCGACATACAATAAATTTTGGGAAAAAAAAACCCCAACTTTTTGCCAAAAAGTTGGGTTTTAAAGCAGAATCCAATATTTTTTCCTGTCATGGCTTGTGCACCATCAGTTGTAATTGATAATAAATTCTCAATTGGTATTTCAATGCCAATCAAAAACGTTTTTACTGCACAAATTAAATTCTTTCTTCATGTGGACTCTTTAAGTGGTATAAGTTTTCGAAACTTTTCTCTTATGGTAAAATCTTCAAAGGCCATCTTGACACTTATTGCCAGTTCAGCTGTATTTGTTATACCTTTCCATTCATACAGTTGTCAGGAAACAAAATGCACATTTGTTCATATCTTTTATCAGTTGGGTTCCTAAGTTGTTTGTGATTGTTTCAACTCTCTTTATGATGATTCTAGCTGACAACTGCATGACATTTATGGCCAAAACAATTTATTTTTCATTTTTAAATTCTGCAAAAGTTCAGAACGTTCAGGATAACCCAATTCAAAATTGAGATGCGCCGTTTTAAAACATGTCTCAAGGTTACTTTGTAACTGCTACATTTTTGTTGCATAATGAGCATATGCTTTTATGATTACTGATTTAGGAAGCAAAACTGGTACTCCTATTCTTCATTATAATTATAAGAGTGTGCTTGCTTAGTTTTGTTCATTGCAGGCTGCTACAATTATCAGTTTGTGAGCAAATCTCTGAAAGCATCCTGGACGTAGAGAGTCAGTAAACGAATCTAACAAGAAAGCAGCACTAGAGTACACATACAGTACATACCTTGTAATTATTGACTTCTGGTCTAAAAGTCAGAAATTCAGAATATGTTTAGGAATTAATCAAAATTGCCACAGACAGGCAAAGTAGATAGATGTCTTGTTTTGCACCCACTAAGTCTTGTTTGTCCCACTAAGTCAGTTTGACAAACCATTTCGGACCATATTTATAAACTAGGATTGGTTAATAAATATTCCAGATGGGTGCCTTAAATACATAATTGAATTTCTTGCTTGGAGCAAAAACAAACCTTTCTTGAATCAGACTGATGTCCAAGAACCAATACTTTATGAACTCTTGAAAAGCTCAATAGGGGAAGATACTGTCCACAAATGGATGGCCTTAAAACAAAGCAGTCAAAGAAAAGATGCTGACAACAGAAAGCACATCATACTGTATCATGATACTGCCAGACAACATTCTGCTTTGACAAATTATAAGGAAATTGTAGAGCTAGGATGAGAAATTCTGCAACATCCACCATACTTCCCAGACCTAAAACCCTATGATTATTACTTATATCTCTTCTTGCAAAAAATTTTTAAGGGGGAAAATTCAAAACTGAAGCAGATGTCAGCCAAGCACTACTTGAGCTTTTCACCTCTATAGACATAACTTTTTTCCAAAATGATATTTACAAATTACCACCACGCCGGAGAGAGGCCATATGTAACAATAGAAATTACATGTCACAGTAAATATTATGAAAGGTATGAAAAATGTATTATTTTCTTTCGATTCCTAAATGGACAGAATTTTCCGGTAGACCTTATATACAGTCAAAACAAATAAAAGTATTTTTACTATATAAATTTCCTTTAATGTCACACCTTTCAGAAATTTTAATCTAAATTATTTTTGCTAATTATATCTCATACCTTTTTCTTTTTTGCAACTATTGCTCCTTCTTAATTTAACTTCACTTTGGGTTGTTAGACTAGCTCTCATTGGAGGATGTGGGCGTAAATTCCAATTTGGCCATACCTTTTTTGATACTTGACGAGCTGCAGCAGCTATTCGATTTGGATTGGTAGTTTTATCATCAGGTGATATACTTCTGGATGGCTGAAATGGAATTAAAATAGACATAAAATCAAAACTATCAGAAAAGACAGCAATTTATTAGTATTGTATTTTGTAATTTGCTAATGAACTAGATTATTAATTATAATGGTGGTAACCACTTGATTAAACAACTACACTGCCTTCATTAAGAATATCATTAAACAAAAACTTATATTTACTCTCCTTACATTTTAGTTAAACTTTGCCTACCTAGCTTTTTGACAAGAAATTAGAAGTGGCTTAGAAAAGACAGTTAATAATAGAACGAAATCTTTAGAATCTTGCTGAGTTCACATTTTTCTCCTTTTCATTTTTTCATATCTTTAATAAAATTCTTTTTAATGTTATTTTAATGCTTTAAATTTTCTAATGCTAGTAAAAGCAACCTTATGATGGTAAATGCTTGTAATATACAAATAATAGTCAAATTCTGATGGAAAAAAATATAAATAAATATCAGTTACTGATGGAGGGGAGGAATGTTTAATGCAAATTATCAAATAATACAATATTTTGCTACTAAAATATTTTTCTTTGACTAAAAAATTATATTCAACAAGTCAACTTTTTCATGGCATACTTTTTCTCAGATAAAAAAAATAAGTTGAACAGGTCAACCCTTTTATAAAATTTTTCAAAACAAAATTTTAATGCTATATTTTAAAATAATTCTAACACCTTAATTCTCCCTTCTTTAACTGTAAGAATTTTGATCATTTATTACATTTCATTAATGCTCTCTTGAGTAATTTTTTTTGATAAACTATGTAGATAATTCAATGCCTATTGTCCCCAGAATTTATGATTTTGATGATTATTGTTAAGTGATCAGTATTTTATTTCTTTCATTAAGCTTGCTACACCATAATATCAAGATTTAATAAGACAATAACAACAGTAACTATTTCTTCAGGAAATCAACATTCCTTTTGGGGGGGATCAAGAGCCACAGATAAACATTTATAGCTTTGACTCCTAAAACTGAAAATGCAGCGAAGAAGGATGGAGTGTCAGCAAAATAATACAAGCACAATATAGGCACAACCTACTTATTTAATTACAGACTATAACCATTAAATGAATAAGACATAATATTTTACTGATAGCAGATACCTTTACAACATGGTAATGTTGTTGATACATGCATCACAAGTAGGTTACCATTAGACTCACAGGCAAGGGTGTTGCATGTATCACATATAGTAAAGTTTAAATCAAGAATGGGCATTTAAGATTTTGAAAACTATAGGTGTGGATTTAAAATTGAGATTGCTTTGATCTATTCCATTAAATGCTATAATTTGATAACATGTTATCAAATTCATGCCATTTTGTTTTCTACTTACGGGTAATTATTTTGTTTTCTGCTTAAGGTTGCTTTTTAGCTATGTGTTGTTCTTGACCTGTCTTAAAAAACCATTATAAATTCCTCAATGTGCTTGATAATTTATGTTGCAGCTGTGTTGTGCTATTCCTTATTATACTTGTTCCTTCTCCTGGACACTCCTTATTAGATTATCTCCATCACTAATATTTGTATCATAGCATGAAGATTGCAAGCTATTTGGATGATTGCACAGTATAGTTTATAAGCTATCAAAGAGGCCTGTGCTCAATGTCACACTATTCAAATAACACTCACACCTACATAGCACACAGGCCAACAGCCAGGCATGTGTCTTACCACACATTGAACTCTTATCTCCAGAAATTGCACAGACTATTAAATCTGTTGTTTTATTCACATGTTTTATGAACTATGAAAATTTCATGATGATTAGTCAAGAAATCTGATAGCTTTCCTTATCAACAAAAATGACACCAACAGCCGTTAAAAATAAAATGATCATGTGATCAGACAGCATGAATAACGGTTGTCTGAATTCTTTTCCTGGCAGGCCTTGCGGCAAATGTTTATAAAAATAAGACTTTTGAATTTTTGGTGTAGCATATTTCTTGGCTTACTAGGTTTAGTTTATTCTTTTTCTAATATTACCTGATTAATTATACTTGGTTTATAATTCAATCTAATATGTTATGTACAAGATGTGTCATGCATTAAAATTACAAAACTTGAACAACACGGTCTTGCGAGAATCTCATTTAATTTTATAGTGATGATATTGTTATTTTTTATGGTGCCAAAACAGCTATTAAAAATCATTACATTAAGCATTTACATTTCACATATTCAAGCATACATAGAAAAATCATTTAGATTTAAAAATCAGATACTAATCCTAGCATGATAAATAAATTTGTTGATAAACATAGAGGCTGTTTGTATATTTTATTTATATACATAAAATTGGCTGCTAGGTTTTTTTTTTTTGTTTTGTTTTGTTGTTGTTGTTGTTGTAACTATACTTTTGAAAGTATAAATTATTGTATGCTACTTGACAGTTTTGTTTTCTTAAAAAAAGCAGTGGATGGAAAGCTATGCTAGTGCTCTTTCTGAAGAAAATTATTCGTATCTAGTTATTAAAAAATGCTGTGAAAGCCGTGGTTTCTTGATATCTAAAGCTACGATAAGCAATATTGTCAACAACAGAGAAGTAAAAAAAGTTTGGCTTCAAGTGAAAAAAAAATTTGCTCCAAGTACACATCCAAGGAATATTTTGAATGTAGCAGAGGTAAGATTTTTAATGTTAAAAGACAATCTGCCAAGTCAAAGGAAAGTTGCAAAACCATTTAGATGTAAACAAACATCAACTGTAAACAATGTGATTATGGTGATTTGAATCTTAGGAAGGTGAAAAAACATAATGTGCATCGTCTTTCTTCATGACATATCGCTGAATGCAGAAAGTGCTGCAGAATTCTTAACAAGAAACATTTATACAAACAAAAATGGAAAAATGTTGTCATAAGAGATGATTTAAATGACTGCAATAAAAAGAGATCCATTTACCATTATCAAAGACGACCCCCCCCAAAAAAAACAACTTAAAACATGGTTCAATGAATCTAAAGAAAGACTTTCAAAGAGATATATGACTGCTGCTGTTTCTCATATAATGTCAAATTAAAAATAGAGTGGAGAGATATATTAGGATCAATTCTACATATTATCAGGAACATATTTTATCCCAATTTTCAAATATGAAGTACCTTCTCTTTAATCACATTGCTAACAATCAGTAGAACTGTATCAAGACAAAGCAAACAGCCACATGTAAAAATCCACTGTTAATTTTCTAGAAAAAAAAAGGGGGGGGGACAAAAAAGTGGGTATCAAGGCCATACCCATACCTGCCAACCTCTAAAGATAAAAATTCAGAAGATTTCTCCAAAATTCAGAAGAACACGAAGAATTAATATCATGCTTTGATATTAAAAAGATAACAATTTATACAAATAGAAAAAAGAAAATTGTACTTACATTAGTAAATCTCAATTAAGTAGTAACTAAAAAATTTATCAGGAAACATAAAACAAGAACTTAATGTTACACAAAAAAATTATTGCAATGAATTTAGAGTGCATTTTTTGGCTTTAGCCAAAAATTCTTTGGAAAATTTTCTGTCATAACAATTAGTTTCCTGATAACATTTAGCAATTAAAATGTTTTCTAGAGTTTTTGGTGAAATTGAAGAACAAAACATAGTTTTGTTTTTCTTCACAACACTGAAGACTCTCTCGCACTCAGCATTACTGTGTGGAATTACGAGAATAGCACATAAAACTCTTGCTAGTCTATCATATTTTGGTGTTCCATCAGCTCTTTTTATTTTTTTAAGGTACCAACGAGGACATCAAGTCTATCTTCTCCAAAACTGGCAAAGTCTTCAAACTGTGCAGCAGAAATCTGGTTCTGTAGTTCATCTAAAGCATCATTATGGCATTCATTTTCTTTACTTGTTAACAAAAATGGAAATTTATCAATAAAAAAACAAATCTTTTCAAAAGATTAATTTTCAATTTGTTTCAAATTTGCCACTTCAGCATTTAAAAGAACTTCATTTTGCAAAGGAAACTTCCTTACAATGTAATCACAGGCTGAGAAAAAGTACTTTCTAACACATTGAAAAAAATTATTTTTTCTCATGATCTTTCAAAGAATTTACAAGTTCCCTGGTTTGATTTTCAATTATAAGATCATTGTCATCCTTTTGATTTGCCAAACTATTATAGGCAACACGAATCAACACACTGTTTTTCACAACGGACGGTTTTACAAACTTAGTATAAAGTTCTTTCAAAAGATCATTAAAAATTTCAATAAGCAGGGGAGATTTTGGCGAAGCTGATTGTAGAAGGGTATTTACACTTTCAAAAATCTTAATGGTACTTAACACAAAACTGCAATATGCTTTGTTCAAGACTGTTTCTTCTTCCCTTCAACTTCTTTAACAAAGTTGACCTTTGAGGAGTCTTCTAAGCATTTTCTTTTTAAAGGGTTTGATTCTGTGTGTTGGCTTTTCCCTTTTAAAGCATTTTGATTAGAAGCAAAGTTGGTTTTCGGAATCTTATATACCGACAAATTTGATGGGATCCGTGGTTTTGTTTTGGTCTCTTTGTGGAAATATTTTAGCAATGCATCCCACTGTTCAATAAACCTTCCTAGCGCTCTTCCTAATGATAACCATCTCGTACATACATGTTTCAGAATTTTTCTCGTTTCACCAGAGCACAGTTCTTGGAAATTCTTTAGGTTTTCTTTCCTTTTTACACTTTTTTCCAGATAGAAAAACACGTCAATCAGAAGCTGGTCAATATTTAATGGTAAAGCAGGCATTTAATGGTAATGGCAGCTTTTTCTGCTGCCAAATTAATTAAGTGGCATGGGCATCCAATAACAATTAATTCATTTTGTTCTTTTTTGAGGAAAGAGGCTATAACCTTTTTGTCACCCACCATGACATGAGCATTATCTGCACCAAATGAAATGCAGTTTGATATTGGGATGTTAACTAGTTTAAACTCATTAATTACCACGGAGGCAATATTTTCCCCCGTAGCATCTCCATTTAACAATGGAAGACGCAAAAGATGAGTTCATTAGAAACATCACAGAAATATGTGACAACGATGGGGTAAAGCTTCCAATCGCTGTCGTTGCTGCCATTCGATTGACACCGAAAATGCTGAATTCTGGAGTGCTGCTATCGTTTTACTTTGTGCATCGCAAGCAATTTCGTTCATAATAGAAGATGTTTTCGTGCGAGCACAAGCACATTTCTGAGCAATCTTGGAGTCGGGAAACATCCGTTTGAAAAGTTGACCGGCATGATCGGCAGCGCTTAGCGGCATGTTGTGTTCGATGAGGAATGCAGTAAACAAACACTCTGGCAAAATGACATCGGCATCCGAATTCGTAGCCGAATTTGAAAAAAAAATTATCCACTTTCTTTGACGTTGTCAAAGCCGAAGCATTAACTTCATGCTTTTTTAGACTTAACATGCTTCACAATGTCGCTTCTTCCACCGTGGCTTATTATGAAGTCACACACGCACATGTTGCAAAATGCATAGTTATTTCCTTTGAAGGATTCTTTAATTGTTGGAAATTCGGCTTTGTAGGCAGGCCGAAAATATTGAGAATACGGTTTTTTTGAACTCATTTGAAATGAGTGACATTTCGTAACAACAACGTATTAAGAAAAATCGTAGCACGTGCCAAAAAAAAAAAAAAAAAAAAAAAAAAAAAAAGAGAGAATGCAACAATCCACGCTCGCTGAGTAATTCCCTTGCTGCTGAAGCGGACGCGAAAAAAATAATCTGGCACCCACAAAGAAAAGAATGGGAGAAACAAGTTCAGCGCATTGGATTGGCTGGTTAAGCGGTGAGTTGGGAGAAACCGCAGGTTACTGGATTCGAAGTAGTCGGTAAAACACGATGCGACTGGCGAAAAATTCTAAAATTTCGTCAAAAATCACTAAAAACACTTGAAAAAGGAAAAAAATCGTAAAAAATGGATTACGATTGTAAAATCATAAAGCCAAACGCATTTTCGTAAAAATTATGAAAAATTCGTAAAAGTTGCCAGGTATGCATAACCTTCACTCATCTCCCTACTTAATCTCTTAATGTATCTAAAAATTGGATTGTCCAAATATTGACTTATAGCCCTCCTTGGACTTTGGAAAGCTGTTCAAGATGAACGGGATAAAATATCTTTTCCGGTACTATTAAAAGCACGACTGTCTTCGGAATTATGGTGTAGAGAGATAGTGAAGAATGAGGGTTATCAAATACAGCATTTCAAAAATAAAAATTTTAAGTAAAATATTTCTGTAAATATGATGAAAAATCATCTAAAAACAAATCTGCATACAGCCTCCGTATATACACCAGTAATTTATTAAAATATAATACAAATGTAAATAAATAAATAAAATGTTTACATGCTCATAAAAAAAATACACATACATGCGGTGGCACTGATTGCAAGCCTTGGACAGAACTGTTAGGGGAGATAGATGTTCGCATTGGTGTTGTATGAGATGGACTGTGACGAGATATAGTTGATGGGCGGGAGAAAGATGTAGGACTTATGCTTTTCACATTGTTGCTTCTGAAGGAATTTAACCATTGATTTAAAATTTCTGCAGATGAGCAAACTACAGCTATTCGTTGTATCATATTTCCTAGAAACAAAGAAAAAAAGGTCTGAAATTTACATTAAACTGCATGATTGTTTATAGATAATATTATGCCAACTTTGAATAGCCAACATTTATAAAAATATATTTTAAAATTATGAAAGTCTTGCATAATTTTCACATAACAGCTTTCAATATTACAACTCCTCACCTCCTACAGAAAAAGGATGTTATAAAGAGTGGCATAAAATGGAATATACCACTATAAAGAAAATGGAATTGATGCACTATCACCAGTAGGAGATCTTTTGCATCAATGGCTGTAATGGAATGTTGCTATAATGAGCACTTTGTTATAATGAATGTTAGCTATGTTAGTTTATGTAGCTCATTCATACAGAATTTTGGTAACAAAAGTTTCGTGCATTCATGAAATATACAACTTATCATCACACAATAAATTTCTTTTTCTCGGTAACTTTAATTACTACAAGCTTATGTTTAATATGTGATGGTTATTATTATTATTTTAAAAAGAATAAATATATGTAAAAGATCAATAAATAATTAATGAGCCATTTTGGCTACATATAAGGCAAGATTCTTAAAAAGCTTTTAGCACCAAACAAATAAGCTTCAGATTAAAATGCATAAAAAAGAATTTTTAAGATACCTAACAATATATACATACACACTGCTCTCCAGAAGTTAAGGAACAGCATGTTTTTTTAGTCTAATTTGAGAATGAAGCAACATAGAAGCAAGCAATTCACAGGACATGTTCACTAAACAGTTCTTTAATGAATGTGACATAGAATGTTTCTAAAGTTCAACACAAACGTGAATTTACAACAAAAAATTGCAATCTTGGCAGAGAAATCCAATCTTGGAGAAAGAGTATATATATATTTGAGGGAAAATGAGGCAGGAACATTACAAAAATGGGTTCTAATAAGGAATATGTCCACCCCTAGCTGCAATACAGTGGCACAAGCAACATTCCATGTTGTCAATTAAATTGTCAGTCAGTAGAATGGGAAGAAACGGCCAGACATGGAGTAATCCTTGTTCAAGCTCATCTAACGACCTTAAAAGAGGACTTAAAGCAGCAACCTGTCTCCCAGGATATTCCAAAGATGCTCTATCAGATTCAGGTCTGGGGATTGAGCTGGCCATTCCATCCGCTCCATAGCGTGATTCTCAAGATATTCTTGAGCAACCCAAGCTCAGTGCGGTCATGCATTGTCGTCCACCATAAGAAATCCAGGACCAATAGCAGCAGCATATGGGCAGACATATTAATCAAGGATCTTGTCCCGATATCTCACATCGGTCAAAGTTCCTCCATGGAACACATGCAGGTCAGTGTGACCATTGAGAAAGATTCCAGCCCAAACCATTATTCTACCACCTCTGTAACTGTGTCTTTCCACAATGTGGGATTGGTTGTATCTGATGCGTTGTTCCCTCCACATCAGCTGACGACCTGAATCACTCTCCAATGTGAACTTGGACTCGTCTGTGAGGGGAACAGATGCTTACTGTTGACTGGTCCAGAAGATGTGTTTTCTTGCCCAACATAAACAGCACCTCTGTGCATCCTCGGGTCAAAGGGACACAAACAACTGGTAGTCTTGCACACAGAAATGTATTGTGTAGGCATCTGTGCACTGTAGTAACTGAGATTCTTGTTCTCGTTGCCACTAAATGATCTGCCATGAGCTGAGGCACAGTAACGTTACTCCTTCTTCAGGCCAAAAGAGCTAAATAACGGTCTCTCACAGGTGTTGTAACTCTAGATCTGCCTAGAACAGGTTTTCTAGACCAGCAGTCACCAACAGACCACTGATGGTCCGTGAAAACTTTTTGATGGTCCACAGAAAAATTGGGACATTATATTTTTATGAAGATTCAGTTTAAAAAATGATGAGTAACAAAACCTATTATGGAACATGAATTATACTTTTTTAATTTTAGTTACTACTTTTAGAGAAATTCCTTCTGAATTTAGGGACTTTTTAGCTACTTTTGCAGGTGTATCTAGCGACATTTGAAGGTGAGACTTGGCATCCATTGATAGGCTGCTGTTATCAATAATAGCGCAAACTGCAATTCTCTTTCCTTTTGAATTACAAGCATATGCTTTGTAGTCATTAATAACACAATTTTTTTCCATGTCAATAGGCAGCTTGATGGATTTTTATGAGAACCATCTGCATTCTTGTTTATAATTGCATTACTGGAGGTTTCCGTTTTTGTTTTGTCTAACTGTTACTGTTTTTTCTTGTTTTTTATGAAGTTCCTTTTCAGCAATATGGAAATATAAAAGCTCTCTGTAGAAGAAGGTAAGATTTTTGTACTATTTTTTTCATATAATTTTTCAATGTGAGTGAAATATGTGTATCAGTGATATGCTAATAGAGTTTTTATTGTTACTCATAATCAGGGGCATAGCCTGAATTTTCATAAAGGCATGCTGCTGAACACCACATGTTTTGAAAATTATATTAACAAATGAAAATTAGAATTACATGTATTGGAAGGTTGAATATTGTTTTTGCATATTAATATGTTTTTTAAGGTCTGATTTAAGTTTTTTTTTTTTTAAATTCATATTAGTGGTCTGCCAAATACAAAATTATACATATATAGTGGTCCATAAAGTTCTAAGGTTTGACGACCACTGTTCTAAACACAGAATCTTCAGATTCAAACTGATTCCAGAGTCGGTGGACCGCACTACGAGAGATACTGAGACATCTAGCAGCATCAGTTTGTTGCATCCCCACTTCTATCCATCCAATCCCCCTCATTTCAACGAATTGGGCAAACAAATTCTTCTGGATATTGAAAGACTCTTTTGGACATTGTCCACGAAACTGTAATGAAACCGAAGATCAATACTTGTGAACAAAAATTACAATTTTTGCATTTTTTCTCCAACTCACATACAAGTATTCATTTCGACAAAATAAAAGTGGTAGCTATTGTTTTTGCATATATTTTCTTCAACTTTGTTACTGTCATGCAAATGAACTGTGAATTTAAACATTATTCAGATTTTTGTAATGGCGAGCTTTGAAAAACATGCTGTCCCTTAACTTTTGGAGGGCAGTGTGTATATATTAATAGTTCTATTAAGTAAAATTTTTCTATGCAAATGTAAATTTATTATTTTTGCTTTTCGGTACCAAATAATAAATATGACATAACAAAGTAAACAGACTGTACAACAGCCTACACTTCATGACTACTGCATAAATATATATATATATCTTTAAATTTAATCAGTTCATCAAAAACAGAAAATTAATATTTAAACCATATTATAATTGCTCAGGGCAATATATTATACATATTATACAACAGGAAAGTGTTGACAGAAAATTTCACATTAATGATTTGTCACATTGTTTTAAAATACCTTTTTGCATTAGTTTAACAAAGAACAATAAAAAAGAATTAACAATTTTTTCCTAATAAAATACACACAGAAAGAATTGAAAACAGCTCATTCCTCAACGTAATTGTTGCTATGTTTAATATAATGCTTCTATAATGCATGAATTTGGGAGGGGGTAAAAGGGGGACCCTTTTGATATAGCCACTTATGATACACCTCTCATTCAATTATATAATAAATTTCTTACCAATTACTGCATTTCTGCAGGATCTAAACATGTTAATCCATATGAGGTTTGACAAATGTGCAAGATATCAAATATATAAATACAGGATAATATATTTACAGATCAATAATTATTGAAATATAAATAGCGAAAATTAAAAATTAAAAAAATCTCGCTGTAAGAGTACATTCTAGTTGAGCAAATTGTAACATTTTACATGATTGCAGGTTTCAAGTGTTTTCAAGCATGCCCTTCCAAAAGTTAAAAATGTGATAGTAAACTCAACATATTTGATTCTAAATTTAACAGAAATTATATTATTATATACACTAAAATTATATTAATATATACACTAAATTTTATTATTATCATGAGAATAATAATAAAGAGAGAATATTTTAATTATTTGAGTGCGGCAAAGTGCTATCACATTTCTCTTGTGTTATGCCAAAAATGCGTAGAAGCGCGATTGTGCTGCAATTTGTCATTATACAATTTTCACATTAATTGAGAGCAATTGTGTTCATATCAACTGCAGTTTTTATTAATAGCATTCAAATGTGGTTTTTAATAAGAGAAGAATTAATCTCTCAGATATGATGTGTTACTATAGTGACTCACTCTAGGTGTTGCCATTTTAACTGAATGATCGTTTTGATATGTTGTATTTCACACTTCTTTTGTCTTCACAATATGTTGTAGCTGACATGCTAGAGTAAGGTATGAATTGTTGCTTTTCATACATTGTACTGCTGTATTGTTTATGTAGTTTGCGTTGAAGTCTGCCACACAAAGAAACAGCCGAGTGCAAAATCCAGCCATGCCATTTTCAAAATAACTGATATTGTCATTTTTATGATGTCACAGCAGGCACAGGTAAAAGCAGATGGAACACCAGATTTTCACCAGTGGTTGCAAAAGTATAGACCAGCTAAACTAGCTGCCCGGTTCTAGCTTAATTTTGAGGAAGAATACTCCAAAGGGGCAGTCTGAGAGTTTCCCACCAATTTTCGGTTTCCCATGCATTTTGAGAGCAACCTTGCCACATTGTTGTGATTATAAACATCCCTGCATTCTCCACGATTCCAACTTGGGCCCATCAATAAAGAGACCACCTTAACTAATCAATATATCGGCTATAATATCACAGCAGTATTTCATAAACACTCACATCTGATTTTTTGAGTTCATGGATGAAGAATCATTTTGGTACTAATTTAGGTATGACTTTGACACTGCAGCAAGTCATGAATGCTGTAATATGACAAATTAGACATGATTTTAAATTCTACGGCAATCTTTCTGATTGTTATTAGCTACTTTTCCTATATGATCAACTCATTTTAGCGATAGCATAAAGTATAGCTGCAGTGTGAAGATACCTAAAACCTGCTATATTAGTCAAAGCTGACACATAATTTTTAAATCCATAAGTAAGAGTGTTGAAGTAACTAAAGTTTCAAATTTGCCTTTTTGTGCCATGATACATGACTGCTTGGTTCCTTATTCTCATTAGTCAGAAATAGTATGCTAATGTGCCCTACTTTTCTTGCATATATTGTCCATTTTGGTTCATATTTACTGAAAACACACTTTCCAAGCATATGAACAAATTCTTCAAGTGACAGGATATAACATAGCCACATTTCAACCACAAGGTAATTTTTAACTTTGGAAATTTCATATTTAAGTAAAAATATTATAGCACAATCTGAGTAAATACAGCTACACTGTAAAAATATACATACCAATAATTTCAAAAGCATACTGGAAATTTTCAAAAGAGTCTAATTTTCTCACAGAAATTCCAGATAATGGTAGTTTACCCTTAAAGATAAAATTTTAGAGAATTAAAAAATACAGAACACATTCTTAATACTTTTATGCACTTGAATTCATCTATAGAATAACAAAGTCTAGAAAACATGCTTTAATATAATGGCACAGAACAAAGAGATATGCATACGTAATTTTTATTAATTTAAAATAAAAAAAGATACCTCATAAACAAAAGCACTCATTCTAGGACTAATGGACAAGATGACTAGTGTTTCAGGAAATAACACTAGATAACGATCATTCTTCTTAGAATCTTCTGTAAGGAATACTACAGGTCCCATATGAACTATGCTCCCTAATGTATGTATTCCCTTTGAAAGATAAAAGTCATGAGACAGAAGGCAATAAACTAACATTGACTAAATAACTCCCACACTGCTCAAGTAGTTAATCAAATATTGTCAAAAGTTATTTGAAAGGATCATTTAACAAACTGAAATAGAAAATATTTGCAGTTTTTTACTTACTTCTCCTTCCCAGCCTCTAATGTTTCCTGTCATGATTTCTAATTCCATTTCCTTTTGCCTCCTAATAGTTGAACACACAGTCTGAAAAAATATAAAAATGGGATTACATGTATAGGATTCTAGTTAAAGTAAAGTTACCTGAAGCTAGAACTGTGAAAGAAATCAAACAATAAAAATCAGCTTTATATTTGCGAATTTTCACAGGACTAGTTTCGATGGCTTTACCGAACCATCAGCCTCAGCTGCTAAAGTGCAAATGATGGTTTGGTAAAGCCATCGAAACTAGTCCTGTGAAAATTTGCAAATATAATGCTAATTTCAGGTTTGATTTCTAAATTCATATTTGTTTGGTGTGTTATTTTAACCTAAATTGTGAAGAGACTATTAGCCAAGTTCTGCTGTATCAGTAACAACTTAAGAAGGGTAAAAAGACCCTCTTATCCACTTAGGAGTTAACAGAAGGCACTCAACAAATATCTCATTTGTTAGCACAAGAGAGCTATTTAACACTTAGTTGCCTCTTGGCTAATACCACCGACACACATTAATATTGCAATTAAAATACACTGCCATAAAATAACAGGTTTTAACTAGTAGTGAAATAATGTGGCCAAAAGGCAGAACATGCTCTGTCTGAAGTAACTCAGACCACACTTAAATAACAGCTTTCTAGTAGTTTTGTATAATGCGCAAAACTGAAATCTCATTCTCGCAGGAAATCATGTTTTGAAAATGAGACTTTATTTTATTTTTATTATAAGTAAAGGCTGTTTCCAAAATAAAAATAAAATAAAATGCCACTCATGTACAAGATTTTTTTTTTTTTTTTTTCTCCTGCATGTGTGGGGGTTTATTTTCGTAACAGTTGAAATAATGATACAAAAATGAAATAAAATAAAACCCACACATGTACAAAATGAGAATCTCATTCTGGCAAGAAAGCATGGGTTGAAAATGAGAGTTTCAAGAAAAGGCTGTTTCCAAAATGATACACTGTGAAGTTGGCTGAAGGGGGACAGAGTTTAAGATGAGTAGGAAAAACTGACAGAATTAGGTCTCAAGCCAAACAATTTTCAAATTTTGTTAGACTTACTGTTGCATTGTTTCCTTTTGTTGATTTGATTATTATTAGAAGACCCATCTAAGTTAAAAATTGCAAAATATCTTGTTAACATAGAAAATGAATATGACTAAAGAACAATATTCAACAATAAAAAAAAAAAAAAAAAAAAAAAAAGAATTTTACAATAAATTTACCATCTCTTTGTATTTTAATATATCTTTTGTTTTTTCAACTTACCTCAGTCAAAAGAATCTACTGCAAAGCTTATATTTTGCATTGTAGCAACTGAAAATTTATTTACCAATGTGAATTTTTTTTTAATAATAAATCTGGCTTAACATTTTTATAAAAAAGAAGGGGAAGAAGCAACAGAGAAATGTATTTTAATAAATTATCTCAAAATAACGTAACCAATTTTAACCTTATTGTCAAGAGATCAATTTCTGACTTTTTGGGTTGCCATGTGGATCTGCTTCGACTGTTTGAAAGCATTATGTATTGTCAAATACTGGTAAGTTATTTCTTGCTTGTCTTTCCTGAATTTTTATGACAACCTGCTTACATATAACCAATTATGCCTCTAACATACATAAAACTGTTTCTTGGTGTATTAAATACAAACACAATATGCTGTCCATAAAGTGATACTTCTAAAAAAATTGACAATGGCATGTATTATATGTAAAATTTGTATGGTTTACCATAGCATTCAATGGTTACAGTTCATAACATAAAACATGATCTCTAAAAGTAATTCAAAGAAAGTCAAGTGTACAAGGGAAACAACGAATGGAGGGAAAAAAGGCACTACTAAAAATGATGTTCCAATAAAATGGTTTAAGCTGTACAAAAGTGAAAGTGCTGAGCTGTTTGTTACCTAACAAAGGAACAAGTTTTCTCTCCCTAGATTTCAAAGATTAAGAGGATGATTATGCTGAAGGTTGCCTTGACACTTCAAACATACATGTGGTTTAATATTTCATTCAGTGTGATGAGGAAAATGGAAATCTGATAAGGAAGCAGCAGCTAAATTTGTCAATAAATTCACCAGACTTACATAAATAATTAAATCCAAAAAGTTTTACAGAAGAGATTTCTGGAAACATATGCCAGGGTGAACTTCAGGAAGTATATGCTTAAGAGAACTCTGACAGGTGTGAATGTAAAATCACGAATAGGTTATAAAGCATTAAAAGATAACTTTACTATGCTGGGCTACTCTTATGTCCCAGAGACATTTAGGTATATGTTGGTAATCAATAAAATTTTAAATCTAGGGTCTTTCAAAGAAATTCTTATGATTTACTGAGGGAGGGGGGTGATGAAAGAAAGAAAGAAAGGAAGGGGGAAAAAAAAAAAAAAAAAAAAAAAAAAAAACAAAAAAAAAAAAAAAAAAAAAAAAAAAAACAAAAAAAAAAAGAAAAAAAAAAAAAAAAAACAAAAAAAAAAAAAAAAAAAAAAAAAAAAAAAAAAAAGAGAGAGAGAACAAAATGACACTATACTAGACTGTCTTGAAAATTATTTTATTGCACTCTGATTGTCAGCATGACTTTTGCTATGTACCTTTCCCTCTTTGCATGCCATTAATATCAATTTTAGTAGGAGGATATTATGATTATGCTCTTTGAAATTTAAGTACTGTGCCCATTTTTTTTATGAGGAAGCTACCAATTTAACAGACCAATAAATGAATTCTTTAAGAAGTTAGGGGAGAAATATACCTTACTATCAATTCATAGAAATCTACACAGGCATCCACACTGAAAAATATAAGGCATATATTATGCCAAATTCATGCTTAAGCCTGTATCTGTGAAGACCAATGCAATTTTACATGAGTTATGGTTGCAAAGAAATGAAAAATTATACCCGACCTCTTGTTTTTGCTCACAGTACACATAACTACGGTGTTAAAGATCTGTGTGGAAAATGTATGAACAAAATGTTGAGGCACAGATGAAGCAGAAGATGATTTATCTACTTTTCACTGTTATATTGACTCAGAAATTGTGTAGATGATTGTAATTCTACAGAAATAAACTGATGAGGAGAAAACAGTGATGCAAATAAGAAAGATGTAGTAGGAAAGGTCTACAGCAAAACAGTTTAATAAGTGCTCCTAACTATTTTGCTGTAAAGCATTTATATGTCAAATAACAAACTAACTAAAGCTGCTTAACTTGAAACATACATATAAAAAAATGTTGGAAAGTGTTACAGTTAAGTCAGTACTTCAATATCTAATGCCTAATTTTTCCCAGATGAACATAATCACCATCAGTTCCTCTTATTTCAGCTACCTTCTGGGATGATTTCTTGACAATCTTTTACATCAAGACATGTAAACCTTCTTACTTGCAAATTTTATCTCTTCATTCTGGAAATGCTAGTTATGAGGTTTCTTGTGTATACCAATAGAATCACTATTAATCTTTATTTGATTCGTGCATCACTGAATTTTCATCTTCATTTTTTCTTCTTTTTATTAACCAATATATATGCATTTACAGGTTTTTTTTTTTTTTTTTTTTTTTTTTTATGGAGGATGTAATGACCATCTGTTCAGTTAAGTGTATTGTAATGTATCCATTGGTACTCTGGGACGCTAATTTAACCAAGAACATATGGGTTCCAATGATGTCAGATTAGATATGGTTAAACAGCAGCACATGTATACCTACACTAGAAATTTTCAACAATGCACACAATGCTATATATAACTAATTTGATAGTAAAAAAAAAAAGCAAATATATCCTAGATGCAATATACCAATAATAATATGAGTAACACTGTTTTATATATATGGTACAAGACTAACAAAATACTTACAGCAATATCACGATAGACAGAAACAGATCTCTGAGTATCACCCCTATCGATATGATTTTCCTACAAACCAAACAGACTTTTATGAAAAAAAGACTGCAAAATAATACTTAACTTTTTTGCAAGTTAATATGTTAAAAAATTATATATTTAAAAAAAAATTACCTGAGTATGCCTCTGTAATTCTTGTAGAAGGGCAGGATATTTTTCTAATCGCCTAAATGGTCTACTGAGGCCAGTAGTCAAAGTAAGAATACCAGGGGGATTAGCTCCATGCTCCTCCATAAATTTTTCAAGAGCATCTCTACACAATTTTCGAAAGTATAGTTCTCAATATTAATAATGGCTGGTTATATTTTATAATTATAAAATGCATGAATTTCATTGTACTGGTGTGCACGAAAACTATAAAACAACAATTCAATGTTGTGAAAGATGGATAATTACAATGGAATGTAAAACCATGTGAAACAGACAAGCAGCTCATCATCAATGATTATCAGCCCCATTACACAAACATGACCTAAGAGATGGAAGACAAATACGCCAACTAGTAGATACTAAGGTAAGGAATAACCTGGCAGGTATTTCAGATTTAATTTTATCATTTTGACCTTAATTTATGTAATTAAAGGCACTGTTTTTTTGAATAATACTGACTCTGATATTCACCAGGAGGAGAATGTATGCAAGACCTTGATATGCTAACACATAAACTATATTTAAAACGAAACATAAAAGGTGACAACATACCACTCTTGCCAACATGCAAATATTCAAACATTTGAAAAAAAAAATTAAGATTAATATCAAGCAGTTTAATTAAAGAATGATCTTTTTAAATTTCTTTGAGAGACAACTATGCTTGCACACACTTAACCCAAGATCATTAACTTCTGCAAAATTTAAAATTCCACTTCATTCCACTAGATGATTTGCATATCTCCAAACATCTGACCAATGCATGGTTATTAATAGTTCCAATCAGAAGAAAGATGTTTAGTGATGTGGTGTTTATATTTGTGTAATTTGCACTTTTCTTCAAGTTCTTAATTTCATGCATTGGGAAAGTTTAATGACTTTGCTACGTTTTTTTGCACAGTTAGTCCAATCATTTTAGCATGTTTTGCAGTCTATTAGATACACTGTAATTTTATCCTTAGGTGGAATTTACTAAAAATACTTGTAATAATAAAATAAAAAGAATACTTTACTTTAGACAGAAAAGGATCAAAGTATCTATTTTAATGATAACACTTTATATATATATATATATAAAACAGAACTGTTACATTAAAAAATTAGGAAATATATAAGAGTTTATTCACTGTAACAACAGAAATTCACCATCCCTGCTGCTACAATCATACATACAGTTATCTTCACTTTGGTTGCCACTGTCACTGGATTTGTTACTTTCCTTATAAGCAAAGTAGTCATCTTCACTTCCATCTAGCCATTGCTAATTACACACTTTTTAAAAGACTATATAACTTTCAACCGAGACTTTTTCACCCACTCACAAATACTAGAAATTGCCTGCCATTTCATTTTTCCAGTCTGTGTGACATCATGAGTTGGTGCCTCAATCATTTTACACACTTTATCATTCTTGAATCCCTTAAAATGTTAATTGATTGAAATGTTCAGAGGCAATAGCTGAGAAGTCAATGCACCAGGAATCACAGCAAGATGCGTCTTCAGTTCAAAAACAAAGATTTTACTGACTCCATTATATGGGCCTTAAACTAACTGCACAATAATAAAGATGATTTCTTAGACTTATGCACCACAGATTTCTGTAACCATAGCTCCATACCCTCTTCATCTATCCATCATTTAGGATGAACATGTATATAAATTCCATGTGGCACTGTACGTTTAGGCAGAGTTTTTTTGCTTAAAAATTAACAAAGGAGGGAGTGAGTTTTAAACCACCAGCACAACATGCAAGAACTGTAGTATAGAGCATCTTCTCATTAACAGTAGTCTTTATCATTACTGTCTTAGCATCTTTGACATCTGCTGTTCTTTTTGATAGCATGTCAAAAATCAAAGGCAGCTCATCCATGTTTTCTACCTGTTTATTTTCTTTTTGTCAAAATAGACAAATTGTAAAAGATTCGTCAAGATAGATATGTCAAAATTTTCTATTTGTCAAAACACATATTTATCTCAAGTTTAGGTGTATTTGAGAAATTCCATAACCTTTTGTATTCAAGTGGCAGTTTTTGTGCTATTGGCTGGTACGCATGCACAGATAATTTCTTTCAATGAATCTCTTGCACCATGACGATGTCCCAGAAAATTCGGCAATAGACATATCTATCATTAGTTTTCTTGCTTCAATTAATAATTTTTATTCAAACAGTAACGTCATTCTTCCGTAAATTCAGTTCTTAACATGTTCCTCAAGCTCTAGCCATTTAGTAGCAGATGAACGTAAAATTCGGTACTGTTCTATTAGTCAGGACTCAATTCTATACATACATACATTTCTGAATCTGATTCCAATAGCAGAACAGTACCAAACTTCTTTTACTCCTATCTGCATTCACTAAAACCATTTTTTGCTTCTTCCATTCCCATATCATCATCTCAATTGAAGGTGGGCTAGAACACCTTTCAGCAGCTCTGTTATTATGCCCTTAAGCCTAATTCACAACTTCCAAGTTTAAATACAATTCTGCATGGCAATCTTCTTTCTTTAGATCCTATGAAGGTAGTCTAGTTTTAACATAATATACAAGATTTACTTTCTCCAGGTGAAAACATTATTGTACAGTCAAAAGTCGTTAATTCGGACACCCATAATTCGAAATGATTTATAATCCGGACCTCAAAGCTAAAAGCTTTCTGCGCATGCGCCACGTTGATACATGCGCATAGGCGTTTATGCGTGCGCGTAAGACCTTTTACAACTGCGCATATGAGTATGCGCAAATGCAGAATACGTTTTCGCGTGCGCGTTTTATGTATAACGGACGGTATAAGCTAAAATTACCTAATTATCGATTTCAGTTAATGTTGATGATTGCGTTGTTCCTTAATTTTCAAATTGGATCCGGCTTATTATTTTTTGCAGACTGTAAGAGCAATACTATAAAAGTAAACTTGAACTTTCGATTATGTCAAATAGAATTTCCGATTCTGGAGCTCCCAAAGGATCGTACAAAACGAAAGTATGTTTCGATGTTCATAAAAAAAAAGTGGAATTGCTGCAAAAAATGGATAAAGACATGAAGAAAGTGACAGAGAGGTTAGTGGAAACGAAAAAATTTCGATTGACAAGTTAGTCGGTATTCTCGGCACAGCAATTAATAACGGATTTGAAACAGCGGAACTTTGTAACTGAACAAGAAATTATGTCTGTTTATAGAATTAAGAGAAAGTATTATCACATAAAAACGAAGCAACTTACATTGAAAGAAATGTTTAATAAAGTAAACAAATAAATATTAAGCTTTTTTTTTTTTTTTTTTTTTTTTTTTTTTTTTTTTTTTTTTGTAAATTTTGATACCCTTTAGATCATAATTGTTCTTTATTTCATAAATTACGGTTTCATATTTTTAATTTTAGAATTTCTGCATGCCATCTTACGAGATTTAAACTGATGATCTATAATCCGAAATCGCTGAAGTCTTGACGAGTCCGGATTAACGACTTTTGACTGTACTACTTAAATTTGATTGCCTATAAACTCAGAGTTTATTGCAGGAGATATTCTGATTCCAGGGAAGCAATCATTGAGCAACTTTCATTTTCAACTAGTAGAAATTGGCCAGCCAGAAATGTCCTTTTATGCTGAAGCAGGAAACATGATAAACATATGTAAGCTGTGTAGGCATGGCAGCTTGCATTTTAAAATGTAATAATAAAGAAAGAATATTACCATTTTCAAATGTAAGTCGGGCTAAAGTGAGTGACAGCACAAAAAGGTGGAAAGATTTAGATGCCTTTGAAAAAAAAATTGCTTTCGTACCATGCATGCAAATGGTTATTGTACTTTATAATACATCTTGTTATTGGTGCGGTGTGATTTTGAGCAAGAAGTAGTGCTATTTATTTTTATTAATTTACATTTAATGAACTTTAAAGTTTAAAAATATACTTTTAGTAACAAGTGAAGTCAAGATAGACTGAAAAGTAATTTGCTTACTTGTGCTTTTCAATCACAGAAACAGCTTTAGGATGTTCAGAGCAATATTTAAAATGAATTTTCTTCATAAGTGGTGCTATCTGAATAAAAATACCTCCAATCCTTTGTACTTTAGCAGCTGCCCTAAATAAAAATAAAATAAAAATACTAAATCAAATGCAATTTATTCAAAAAGGATGTGTAAAACAAAAAAAAAAAAAAAAACATTTTATCTCTCAACTGTTTTCTTTAGTAATTATTCATGTTGAAACCTTTCAATATTTAGTGAAACAGAGAAGTGACAACAACAAAAAATCAGATACTTCTCTGTTAACAGGGTGCCACTAAGCACAAAACATAAACATTGGTGACAACCCTAATGATACATTAAAGCTTCATGAAATGAAAAACTATTTTATATATGATGAATATAATGTTTAATGTGTACAATGCCAAATTTATTTTGTTCTAATACTATTATTCTCTGAGATTTTCTCATGTGAAAACATTAGAGAATTGCACATATTAAAAATTATATGTATCATTACTGTACCGTTGTTCATGGCGTGATATAAATATGCTACCAAGATTTGACAACTGGCATTTTGTTAACAGAAAAAAAAAAAAAAAAAAAATCAAAAGTCAATGTTTTTCCTTAAAATGACAATATAAATTTGCAACAAAGTTATCACCATAAAATGAAGAAAATACTTTGGATGAAAGCAAAAATTCTCTTTATAACAACAGCTATATCTAACCTAAACATTTTACATGGCATCTTGTCATTAACTTATTAATTATATAAAGAAAAAGTTACAACCATTATCAACACAATATTTTTCTCCTCAAATTTATAATCATAATTATTAGACTTATTCCTCCGATTTATTAATCCTTGACAATAACCTTCAGCTAGTTGTGATGCAACTGGAAACTACAATTTCCAAATTAAAAAATGCATATAAAACCAAAAGATAAATTAAAAATTTAATTAGAACCAAACAAATCAAATATCTGCTAAATATTAAGTAAAATAAATTTATTTACAAAAGTGGGGGGGAAAAGTAGTAAAATATTAAGCAAAAAATCATCTGTAAATAATGTTCCCGTTTGAGTTTACAAAATATTATTAAAAAAAAAAAAAAAAAAAAAAAAAAGAAAAGAAAGAAAAAAAGAAAACTGAGTTTATTTTACCCTTATTTTAGTTTTTTTTTTTTTTTTTTAAATCCATTTATCCAAATGTCCTTATTATTTAGGTACTTAATATTTTCACTGCTATAGAAAAATTACATAAATGTTTATTTTTTAATTTTTTCTGACGATTTACTTTGTAAAATAATGTAAAAAATGATATATAATGCAATTCTTACATACATGTTTTTTAAAAATCCGAAAATTTCGTCATTTATTGGAAATGCGTGCTGAAAATGGTAAGTTTTTTTCCCCTACTACCTCAGTAAGCTTCAAAGTCCTAGACGTGCGGTGGTTTCACAGTGCGACCACCACCTACAAAACAATAGGCAACAGTAGATTTTTTTAATTCATATATTATTTGTCTCTAGGATCATAATATTCAATTTCTAGAGATTTTTGTTAAAAAAATTATAAAAATAATATTGCGCGCATCAAAGGGTTAATGATGCAAGTATAATGAATTTTGCCACTTGATATCTCCTTGATCCAAATAGTATTACATTTCTGTAATTTAAATGAAGAATGAAAATAAATACATTTTAATTTTAATTTTTACACAACATTAAAAAAATGTAGTATTTCAAAGACTACATGTAAAGACAATTTTTAAATACAAACAAAACCATCTCACTCCAGCTCCTTGCCTTTTGACATAATTTCCCAAATAATGATGGAAGTTTTAAAGAAACAGAATCACACATTTTGCTCAACTAATACGAAGATAATTGGTACACACATTGGTAAATCCATCAGCAAATTAAAAATGTTTTTGGTAGTCAATCCACAATGTTGCCAGTTCAGGGCTAACACTAAAATAATTCTTCACTTCAAATTTTTATATAAATGTCATACTGAACTTGAATGGTTGCAGTAGAACTTATCATGCTAATATGGATATGCAGAAGTTTGATTAATAAATACAGAACTATACACAAATATGTATTCACTTATAGTTGTCAGACATTGGGTACTTCCGCTAGTTTTAAATAAAATATAAGTAATGTTAGATACAACAGGCTTAATACCAAAGAAACTTTACAGATTTTACAAGAAATTGCAGCTGATGGTTTGATGCATAACAAATGCAATGCTGTGGTTTTAGGAAACACAAAATAATGCTGATGAAATTAGCAATTCAAATTCCAAAATTCAACATCCATCAAACCCAGAGGAAGACTACCTTTTCATTTTAGTAAAACACACACACACAAAATATATATATATATATATATAAAGTTAAAACTTCTATAAAAAATATGGTCAAAGGGGGAATACTTTTTCTATTTCATACTCAGAGACTGAAAAGAAGTTTTCTATGTGCTTTCAATTAATTCATCAGTGAACCAAACTCAAAATCTACTTAAATTCGCAGAAAATATAAGAATCTAGACTTTAGACATCACCCTAGATCAGGGATGAGCAAACTTTTTTTGGTCGCAAGCCAAAAAAAAAAAAAAAAAGTTTGGCGGGCCAAGATAAATTTTTCTAAAATTTTAAAAACAATATACAAGTAATACAATTTGAATGTGTTAATGACATGAATGAAATTGGAATTTTATTTTTAAAAGTTCCTTAGGTTCGAAGTGAGATGTACTGAATCTAAGGAAAGAGTCTTAATGCTCATCTGTCAGTCTACTTCTGAAATAATTCTTTCTAAGGTTCATAGTTGAAATGCTGTCCACATATATAAATGAAGCAAACATGCACTGATTTTATGGGTGTGATATTAAATTTTTGGGAAACTTACTTTCCATAATGATTTCTAAAACTCTAACTTTGATATATTTAGAAACAACTGCTTGAGATTATTATTAGATTGCAACTCAATTAATTCAAGCTGCAAATCTGACCTCACTGCTTCACAATTTTAGTTGAAAGGCATGGAAAAATATCCAGCTCTGTTTAAATAGCACTGAAATCTTGAAATCTGCATTCAAAGTAAAAATGCAGTTTTTTCAAGCCATCTTCATTTACTGAGAGCATTGGATTAAACCTTGGGAAATGAGACAAGTCGTTCTTAGCTAGCTGCCCAGCAAACAGATAAAAGTTTTAGTTTAAAAGCTTTGAGATGAGCCCACATATCGCCGATAAATTGATTTTCCCCTTGCATCTAGAGAAAGTAAAAAGATCATCAGTTCTTTGAAAAAAGGGAAGAGAAAAAAATAATATTTAAACAAAGTAGTAAAGGAGATGGATATATATAATATATAAATATATATTTCTTTTAATTTGCCTCGGATCGGCAAATTAAAATTATATCCGTGGGCCGGATAGAACTTTCTGGCGGGCCGCAGTTTGCCCATCCCTGCCCTAGATGATAAGAAAAATTTTTAGATATGCAAAACATTTGTGCAGTTTTATCTACATAAAAATACAGAAAAACATATGAAAAAATAAAGGTTCATGGAGTAAAATGTCTGTTCTTGCATTTTAATTGTTATTATCTATTATTACTCCTAATGAAGGCCTGTATCTAAACAGCATTTATTGGCTAAATTTGTATAATAACTTATTTTAATCTCTGCTTTCATAAATTTTCATTCATTAATATGATATTTACATCATTAAAGAACATAAGAAATCAAAATATTTTAAGTTATAAGCTAATATATACCAAGTGACAAAAAATCTCATGACCATATAAAGGCAGGCATGCTACTCAGAGGGTTTAAGAAGTATTACAAGGATAAACAAACAAATTTTCTCTGTAAGCAGTAAAAAATGATTATTTACTCTTTCTAAGTAGGCACTAGTATTTGTAGTGCTAAAGGAACTAGTATAATAGGTTTTGTTTTGAAACAAAGTATAATAAATGATTTACTGTGGAGAAGCTGATTACTTATTTTTCACAAAATTTACATAAAGTTCATACTACAAATTTAAGCAAGTAAATGCTATTATGCAGAAAGTAAAATACATTTTGGTTGATCTTTACAATATGGTAACTGGTAGTTTGGCGACATTTTGGAGGCGATAAAGGTTACTACCTGGGACTTTGGTAATAATGTCAGCAGTACTCAGTTCCAATTACGCATTATTTTGCGTGAGGGAAATGAGAGATCATGGGATTGTCATGTGATTTAATAGACGAATTACGGTTCTTTAATCGGAAAAGGGGGGAAATTGGTAAAAAATTGTGTTTTGTATTTAGTTTTATTCTTTGGTTGTGTGAACAGTGTTGTGTAATTTTTGGATCCCTGGCCCTAACTAATGGAATTTTGAATGGGTATTTAGCATTGTGATAAAGAAGTTCTTTTTTTTAGCGAGGAAGTATGGAGGAAATTCGCAGAAAAAATCTTTCATATTTATTGAATGAATTAGAAAGTTATCCGCCACGTAATCAAGATTCTGAAGAAGATTAGGTAAGTTAGTATTTTTAATTATTTGAGGATATTATTTTTATGCATTGTTTCTAAATGTAAGTTGGAAAGGAATTTGGTATTATTGGGAAATTGTTATTAGCAATGATTTAGTTTAAAGTAATTAGGATTGTAAGGTAATTTTTTTTAATTAATGTATGTGCTCATTTATATTTAAGTAGTGTTTTTTGAATTTATTATATTTTAATGAAACGATAGTTATTTTGGAATTTTATGTTTGTAGGAATTTGGTATACGTTTAAGTTGAAATAAACGTTGCATGGAAATAATTTAAATATTTGATACTAAGTATTGTAATACTTGCATGAATTCGTTGGTGACGTGTATAATGTAATAGATGATTAGAGGTAAAAGTTTTTGGATATTTTATTTATTTTATATGTGGAAATGTTCATATTTGTAAAGGATAAATACTTTTTCGCGATCTGGTAATTTCATATATGTTCTTTTTCCGGGTTTAAAGATCGAGAAAATTGTCATGTATTTTCGTGAAATTTTTTCTAATTTACGAGAAAAGAGCAGTGGTACATGGATTAGTGAAGAGTGGTGCGCAATGCCATTTTTGTGCAATTCTGGGATGTTTTTTTAAGTAAAAATAAGTCGACGTTACATGGTTTAGTGATATTTTAATTAAATGATAGTTATTTTGTGAATTTTATGTTTGTGGAATTTGGTAATAACGTTTAAGTTGAAATAAACGTGCATGGAAATAATTTAAATATTTGATACTAAGTATTTGTAATACTTGCATGAATTCGTTGGTGACGTGTATAATGTAATAGATGATTTAGAGGTAAAAGTTTTGGATATTTTATTTATTTTATATGTGGAAATGTTCATATTTGTAAAGGGTAAATACTTTTTCGCGATCAGCAGTAATTTCATAATGTTCTTTTTTACCGGGTTTAAAGATTGAGAAAATTGTCATGTATTTTCGTGAAATTTTTCTAGTTTATGAGAAAAAAAGCAGTGTACATGGATATAGTAAAGAGTGGTGCGCAATGCATTTTTGTGCAATTCTGGGATGTTTTTTAAGTAAAAATAAGTCGGCGTGTACATGGTTTATGTGTTATGCGTTATTTTGAAAAACGCGTAAGGAGTATGGTATTGTGCACTTTTTCCCAATTTTGCAGTGATATTTGTCATGATTAAGCAGTTTTTGTTTTGGTAAAATTTCTAGCAAAAGTGTAATTCGCTAGTAGATGTTGGAAGAAGTGTTCAGTAGATAAGAAGAAAAGGAAACATGTCTTTACTTCGTGAAGACAAAATGGCGGCGGGGAAAAAAAATAGAGGGTTGCTGTAGAAGAATTGGTTGCCAAATTTTCGCCAAAAAATCGCCAAATTACCATAATGTAAAGATCAACCTACATTTTAAATACTACAGAAAGAAAAGTAAATATTTAACTACATGAAAAACAACAGAAAGTAATTTTATACAATAAAATGAAAATGAAAGTTTTTACCCTTTCACATCCTCCAACATGTTAAGCAAAGCTCTACTACAAGCACATACATCTTCCATATTATTTATTAACTGAGAATATTCTACTGAATCCAAACTAAAAATAAACAATGGTACAGCAAATTAATCCATACTGTACAAAAGAAACATTCTATAAAATATTTAATAGCAGCTAAAATCTGAAAAACCAGAAATACTTAATTTTAGTATTAAATTTTAGTATAATTATACACACACACACACACACCACACACACACACACACACACCACATATATATATATATATATATATATATATATATAAAAACTATTACTATTTATTACAGTACATAACAAACAGAAAGCAAGAGAGTCAGAATATATATACATATAAACTGACAGAGTCGGAAGACACAAACTGCAGAGTGTGATTGAAAGTGTTGCTTTTATAATGAATACTTGCATGCTCTAAATTTACATAATTTTCACTGAAATTCTTAATAAAAATTAATTATATATGCATCTTTTATAAGAATGGCAATGCGCTTCCCAGAAGATCATGTGACTACTTCTCAGACAGACATGAGACAGGAGCAACGATGAAGTTTATAAAATTGAACAAACACTGAATTATGATTATTATGATGTTATTCTGTTTTTGTGATGCTATGAAGTGACTTTCTCTTCTTATTTCTTTTTATTTTTATGTGTCATCCTTGTGTTATGTTTGTTATGTTCACGTGTTTTCATAATTAAATTACTAAATTACAGTTGTCATCAATAAGACTTGCTATAGTTTGGAAGTACAACTGCATAATACATATATCATGACATAAAATTTTGTCAAAATGATAGGGATGATTTCATAAAAAAGAATTAAATATGATATAATTTTGTTGAAACTAGAAGTAAAAATTAAAAAAACTTCTTAATTTTCAAATGGTTTCCATGCACACTGAAGGCTCACAAACAGCTCCTATACAAAGTAATCCCTCAACATTCATGTCCCCCCTCTCTGGGGCTCTAATTATATGCATTAAAAAATTAATGGTAAAATCTTGCCTAGTTTTATTGCTTTATTTTTATAACTTGCACATTATTTATTTATGGGTTTTTTCCAGCCTCTGCTTAACTTCATTTTAGTACACATGACAAACCCCTGGACATAAGTGAAGGAAGTTAGTTCAGCAGCAACATACAATTCAAGGTTTTGCTCTGCTTCATGGATTTCAAAATAATAACAAAGGCTTTGACAATAAATGCTTATTAGTGTAAATTACAGTCATAAATCATGGCTGAAGAATACTGTATATTAGCACTTTGCCAGCTCATTTAATAAATACTGCATGAAACATAAGAAGAGAAGATTTTGAAGCAGTAAATGAAATAGATACAGGAAAAACAGCAACGAGCACCACCTAGTGGTTGCTGGGACAAAACACTGGCTAAAAAAGACTATAGCAGTCAGTCGATGTGCTGGACTCAAAAGACTAAGAATGCTGTGTCCCCGAGATTTACTTTGCAACTTATGTGTGTAATTATAACGCCCTTAATTGTAATGTTTTATCTTATTTGTGTTCTGTTAATTAAAACTATTTAAAAAAGCCAAGTGAGTCTTTTGTTTATGGTAGTTTTGGTTATACAAAGGCTTTCACAATAAATGCTTATTTGTGTAAATTATGGTCATAAATCATGGCGAAACTGTATATTAGCACTTTGGCAGCTCATTTAATAAATACTGCATGAAATATAAGAGAAGATTTTGAAGCAGTAAATGAAACAGATACAGGAAAAACAGTGACACTAATAGCAAAAGTTGGTGTTAGAAGAGCTTATCACAATCCTGAAATGATTAGGAAATGGAAGTGGAGTTTATAAGTAAGAATTTTCTTTGGCAAAATAGTCAACTGATTTGTGATCTATTATTCAGTTCTCTCTTGGCAAGGGAATTGAAGTCTAAATTTGGTATTTAAAATTTACTGCTTGTCTATAAGCACAGATTTTTTTTGGGGGGGGTAAGGGGGAAAGAGGAAATGAAGCTCTGTAAGACAGTTTCTTTCTCATTCTGTTAATAGCCTAAATATTGATTAATATTTTTATTACATTAGCTTTCATTGTTAAATCCACTTAGTGATTTAAGTAAACCAACTCTGTCTGTCTACATCATTATCAAATTCTGTGTGAATGGCTGATATTGCACTAAACTTAAATTTTGAATTCCCTTATAATCTTATTGGCTAGTATCCATTTCTGAAGATAATAAGGGATTATTATAATACATATTTAGTCAAAAAGTTTGAAAATAAATAGCCAGCACTTAAAAAAAAAAAATCAATATTGAATGTCCCCTCTCTGATGCAATTTCTCCAGAAAAAAATTTAATCATACAGAATTATAAACCATCATTTTTCAAAAAGTTTCCTCTACATAGTTATTGAGATTTAAATATTCCATGAATGGTCACAAAGTAAATCCAATAATTGGCAGTCATAATACGTCTGTCTATAATATGAGTGACCCCCCGATTTCAAAATTCACTGGAACGGGTATGTCCATGGATAAAAAGTTATCATTAAATACATCAATTCCTTCAAGCAGCTGAAATTCATGGGAACAAGTGTATTTATTCAGGGAAAATCTATTTTGAAAGATACTGAAACAGTCATAACCCAGCTTAGGTAATATTTTGATACCATTTAATCATGCATAGTGCATAATAATGGGCCATTTCTCATATAATTTATATAATTTGCTAAATAACTCTCAATAACACTGAAATTAAAAAATTTTAAACTAATGACAGTATTAGAGAGAATAAAAGCTGAGTCAGTATAACCAAAATGTGTCATTTATACAGTCAAAAGTCTTTATTCTGGACTCGTCGGGACTTCGGTGATTCCGGATTATTGGTTTTTCCGGATTATAGATCATCAGTTTAAATCTGGTAAGATGGCAATGCAAAAATTATAAAATAAAAATAAACCGTTTTTTATGAAATAAAAGCAATTACGATCAAAAAAAAAAAAAAAAAAAAAATTAGATTTATTTGTTTAACTTTATTAAACATTTCTTTCAACATGATTGATATTGGGTAAAGCATGGGTTTTTGTGCTAATACTTTTTCTTTCATTTTATACACAGAAATAATATCTTGTTCGGTTACAAAGTTCCATTGTTCAAGTCATGTAATTGCAGTGTTGAGAATTCTGACTAATTTGTCAGTCGAAATTTTTTCATTTTCAATAACCTCTCTGTCATTTTCCTCACTATTGGTAGTGGTATTTTTTGGATCTAGAATCATATTACGAATTTTGCCATTCGTTAATTAATTGATAATTGGGTAAAGCATCCTGGATTGGATACAACGTCCTGGGATTTGGGATTCTTCCAGATATTGGATCATCATTTTAAATCTACTAAGTTAACATGTAGAAATCATAAAATTAAAAATATGAAGCCTTTATGACCTAAATGATATCAATATTTACAAAAAAAAAAAAAAAGCTTAATATTCTTTTTGTTTACTTGATTAAACATTTCTTTCAATGTAAATTGTCCAAGTTGCTTTGCTTTTTGTGCTAATACTTTTTCTTTCATTTTATAAACAGAAATAATATCTTGTTTGGTTACAAAGTTCCATTGTTCAAGTCATGTAATTGCAGTGTTGAGAATTCTGACTAATATGTCAATCGAAATTTTTTCATTTTCAATAACCTCTCTTTTCCTCACTATTGGTAGTGGTATTTTTTGGATCTAGAATCATATTACAGATTTTGCCATTTGTTAATTTATGATTGGGGCATTGTCACCACAATGAAAAACTTCTGTTATATCATCTTCATTTATTATCGCTTCTCCACATTTCTTTACAAAATCCATTAATTGGAAAATTTCACCTTTGGTTTGCGATATTCGAAAACCTTCAAATTCGTGGCTATCATCTTTATCAGCCTTACTATGAAATATGATAGTTGGCCATAAATTATGCCAAGCATTTTTAAAAGTATCTGGAGACACATCCTCCCACGATCTTGCAATGCTCTACACAGAAGATTTTATGCTAAAATATTTTAAAAAATCTTAAGTAGTCTTGCCATTATTTAAGAAATTTAACATGGACTTTAAAACACTGCTTTATATTTGCATTTCAGTTCGTGCACTATTATGATATCTGTAGGCTGAATGATGGACGTACAGTTTAGAGGAAAGACTAATACAGATACATTATCTTTCACTAAAACTTAGATTGAAGTATGAGCCCTACAGTTGTCTACAATAAGGATAATTTTTGTGTCATCAGGTAAACTTTTGTTAAAATGCAAATGTTGCTGAGCCTTGGGTATGAAATGATTTTCAAACCACTCATTCATTAATGTTTGTGCCACCCATGCACCACGATATACAAAGGGGGGAAATCTTTATTCCCTTAAATGCTTGAGGTCATGTGTTTCTTCCGATTAGAAAAAGTTTACACTTTTGCATTTGTGCATGCTAAAACTGTTAGTCTCGCTTTGAAATCTTTGACGCCAATTTAACCCCTTAACTGCCGCGGGCGTATATATACGCCTTGCTCAGCCGATGCGTTACCCCAGATGCGCAGCCGATGCGTTAACTTTGCGAATAATTTTAGGTGTAGCAGCGCAAAGCAAATGATAGCAGTTTGGAAGGACGTATATATACGCCTGGGGCAGTTAACGCATCGGCTGAGCAAGGCGTATATATACGCTCGCGGCAGTTAAGAGGTTAAGCCTTTTCTGTAGAGTTTGTCAAGGTATTTCGCAGTACATATTGCCAAAAAAGACCAGTTTCATCAGAGTTATAAATTTGTTGAGATAACTTTCAACTATTAGTGAATTCAATAAATTAATCAGCAAATAGCTCAGCAGCTTCAGTATCAGCTACCATGAGATTAGCAATGAAAGACAGGTTGTTTTGCTAAATTTTGTCTTGCTTCTATAGCAAACTGAAACAATTAAGCATGAATTGTATTATTTTAGTTATTTATTATACTTACGTCTATTTCTTGCACATGCTTAAGGCTTATCTGAGTCCTGAATAAATAAATTTCCACATACACTTAAGACTTATCAAGGACCAGCGCTAGATAGCCTACCACTTGATGCAGTCTTTGTGGGTCCTAAATTCTGCTAACAAACACATCCCTAAGTTCTAAATTTTTTGTCCTAGCGCTTTCCCTAAATTCTAAAAATTTTGTCTTCACTTAATTTTGTTGGTCGGTGCTTCTCTAAATTCCAAAAATTTAACATCTTCCCTAAATTTCACTGCCCGCTGCGGCCATACACCCTCTGGTGCCGGTTCTGGGTTTATGTGAATAACAAATCAGTTATTCTTAATTCAAATAGCACTAAATGTAACTTTTAGCCTATGAATATCATTAAAAAATCTATTTTTAGTATACTGAAAGAAATTTTTGTTAAAATTTTCCCTCATTAACATTTATTAACACATTTAACTAATCTATAATCACCGCCAAGCATAATGTCAACAGAAAAGTTTTACCATACTCTTTGTTATTCAATTACTAATATTAAAAAAATTGTTTAGGCATCGCTGAATGAGCCATTACACAAGATGTCACATTCTGATAAACATGCGGTGATGAAAGCCAAATACAATTTCTAGGTAGAATGTTTCAGTTTGAGATGCATGCAGCTACAGAGCTTCTATCAATAATTTGACTCTGTAGCTGGTCAAATTATTGATCATACAAATTTATGCTAAAATTATTGTTTCTTCAATAAGTACGTATTTAGTGCCAAAGTGAAATTAAGAATCAGGACTCTCTCCATGTTTTATTGGGGGAGGGGGATCAAATGCGCATGCGTAAAGCATACACAAAAAAAAAAAAAAAAAAAAAAAAAAAAAAGTGCTGTCGGAGGCTTTGAGGTACAGATTTTAGATCATTACGGATCTCAGACTTTGTACAGTATTTTAAATCTGAAAAGGCAATGACAACAGAATAATACTATCAATGTCCGTCTCCAACTTAATAATTAAACTGTATGCTTAAGCATTAGGCATCAACTAGTAATTACATGTATATATTTTAAATCTAAAAAGGCAACAACAACAGTGCAACTTCCAACTTAATAAACAAACAGCATGTTAAAGCATCCAACAGAGATACTTACATATCAGCCTCTGCAAGAGGTTTCAAATATTTATCACTTAAAGATTGTAATTCACTTAAATGATTATTTTCAGTATCAACAATATCTTGAAAAACCTTAAAACAGAAAAAAGAAATAAAAAAAAAAAAAAAAAACTATAAACACTACAAGCCAAAAAAAGTTATTACATGTAATCGTTTCATATATTAATAAAGTATTTATATTAAAAATAATAAAGCATACATTTTGAATGCTGCTTAGAAGAAACAGTCTTTTAGAGCATTTGATAAAATTCTGAACACAGCTATTATAGACTTCAAAGTTATTTACAGTCACAATGCTTAACTGATAAAGCCACAGTTAGAATACTAATCTTACCATTTCAAATTCAAGACATGCTCTATCAGAAAACACATATAAAATTCTCGATGTGACTGTTTTCTAATATTATTTAGGAAGGGGAAATCGCTGAGAGAACTTGTACATATACCAAATAATGAAATACAGATAATTAGTCTTGATTACAGGTTTCAAGAATTTATAGAATGAAAACAATTTAAAGCCAAATAAATGGATAGTAACTGAATATGAAAGGTTTTTTAGTCAGAAATGTATACAAGTTTTATTTTTAAGGGGGAAAAATAATGAATTTATACACTTACAATACCACGGTACATTTTCATTTCATTCAGATTTGGAGACAAAGGCACTTCAGATGAATGGACATTGTTTTTTCTAGATTTCAAAGTTTCTAAAGAGAAAAAGTCATATTGGTTTAAGAACATTTACATCTAAAAGGAGGAACATAAAAAATGATTTTAGTCTAAATAACAGACAACAATTTTATCTAAGAAAAAAATAATTTTTACTCTAATAAAAATTATTTATTGATCATGCAAACACTTGAAAAATAAATTAAAAACAGGTTCCAGATTTATTTACAGGTATAAATTCCTCACAATTATTCTGATGATTTCTAAAAAGCATATCATACATTTCATTAAAAAGGAACAATCGCCCTAAAACACTTAAAATTTATGCATATTATAGTTATTTATGACAATGCTATTTTAACTGCAAGTTCATTAAAAACTAACTTGTACTAAAATTAAATAAATGAATAATTATACTTCCTGCTACTAGGATAAAGTGCGTATATTATGTCTTATGCATACAAAATTATTTTAATAATAGAGAAAGTAGATACAATGGTAAGAGCAATGCTGAACAGTCTGCAAATTTAATCATTAACATAACTCACTAAACCACAATCACATGCAATATTTTGTAGTCATCACTCAATTTTTTCTGAGTGCATATATATATAAAGATTTTTTTTTTTTTTTCCCAAGAGAGTGTAATAAACAGCTTTTAAATTGGGGTAAAAATTTAAAATAGCTTTCAACAATAGGTTACAACACTGGGCTTTATTTAAATTATTTTTGATTTTCAAAAACATGAAATGTAAGTAAAGGAAACACTGAAATGTGGATGGAGACATAAGCATGATGAAAAGCTATACGATTTTACAAATACAAAGCAAAACAGCAGTCAGTAGAAAAGCACAGTAAGAAAAATGAAGATGAAGATAGCAGAGGTAGTAATGGGACATAGGAACATGTAGATAAATTGTTAGACTAAATGAGTAAATAAACTTAGTTCATATAGTGCTATAGTTTTGTGGAGAATCAGCCTTACTGCTGGAAAGAATGTCATTATAGCTCTTTTCTCCAACCAAGAATGTAACTGACATTTTTTCATAAGGAAAACATATGTAAATTTTATTACTATAATAAAAAAAATTTTACACAGTGCACCATATATCATACAGTTAAACTCTCTAAAATGCAAAATTTTTATATTTCATGTACTAATTAATTTAAAATTATTAATTATTTATAACAAATTAAAAAGTCAACTGTCAATTATCCGTGCAATAATTAACACTAATAATCAAGACCATGTGTTGTTAATGCATGTTGCAAACTACACAAACAGAATAAAAATTCACAATAAAACAAAACAGACACAAAATATCACGAATGTATACAAAAGTCAGAATTAAAATGCATAATTACATATACACAAATAACCTGTTTTTAGCTCTTTAACATAATTACTCGGAAACCATCCAGTCACTCCATTTAAAGTACCTTCCCACCAGCCTCCATCTATAGCCTGAGTCACAGTGATGACATCGCCTTTCTTTAAGCAAAGCTGTAAATAAAAGAAAGTCATAAAAATCATCAAGTTATAAAGCTATAACTAAAAAAAAAAAAAAAAAAAAAAAAAAAAAAAAAAAACATAATGATAAATTATTTAGTAATTTGTGCATATCTGTTGCAGGGTATCTCTCTGATCCCAAGTTAATTCTGGTGGCAATCAGGATACTGGAGACTGGTTGTGATCTGAGAGACTGTTGCAAGATTGACTGTAAGACCGTTGTTGATTTGAAGTTGGAGACTGGTTGCTGATCTGGGAGTGGGAAATTATAATTCTTCTACCATTTTTAGAATTGCAAACTTCTCTAAGATATTTCAATCGGCTAATCTTTACTGTACTGTACCCCTTACTTTTTTTTCTGAAAAAAATCGCCAAGCGATATTGGTTGTTCGTGAAATCTGAAAGCCCGCTGCACTTTTTTGTAACAGTAACCCTTTACGGACTTGGGCTTTGGGTTCTTACTATTCTTTTCAGATGCTGTGTTTGCTTGCATGTGCATGATATGGTCTTAGATTTTGAACCTGCTATCATTTTGCTGTGGGTACCATCATTTGAGTATGTCTGAGGATGCTATTGATTAAGGATGAATGTTGATTAACAGTGGATGAGCCGAAATGACGAAAAATTTAATTGAATTGCTTACCTGGAGGATGGAGGAGATGGTGGTGGGAAGCATAAATGTATGCACATGAAAAAAAAAAAAAAAAAAAAAGGGTATGTTAAAAAATTGATATTTCATTTATTTATTCGTCTGACTGTTAATTTTTGTTAAAAAGATTTGTTGTTTAATGTTTTTATGTTAGGAAATATGTATTTTTCCTTATTTATTCCTCTCTGTTTGTGTATTTTTGGTTATTTGTTCATCTCTGTGCGTTAAGACAGCGATAAATTTTTTTTGGGTTACCATGATAGTTTAACTTTGTTTTAGCTTCCTGATTTTGTTCAAGTGAAAATAGATCAATGTGTACATAGACAAAGTCAAAGTAATGCACAATGCCTAGTTTGTGCAATTCTCTGATGTTTTTTCAGTAAAAATAGGTTGATGTGCACATGCACACAATTTATGTCTTTGACTTCCCATTTCGATTTTGTGTAGTTGCTGATCTTGGCGTCAAAAAAGAAACATTTCCATACCATAGAGTAAATTTTTACCATTTCAATCTATGATAGTTTTATATGACAAATTTAACAGTTTTTTCAAGCAAAATTTGATTGATATGAATACACTGCCTAAACAGTAAACAAGCTGTTATGCACGTGGTCCAATTTCTTGCTCTTGTTCTTGCATTTTTGATCACTTTTCTACATTGCACTTAGACAACAAATTTTCTTTAGTGATATATAATTTCACTGGGTATTAACGTATTATCCTATCAACTGTGAAATAGCTACACAGCAGCATGATTTAGTGTCAATTATGGATAAGCATAATGTAGCAACACACCTGTAACATCTGCGCTCTTGTTTGATGTAACTCATGTTTTGTTTTTATGAACAAAGATATAAACTAACTGTTATTGCTGAATTTTTTCCTCGCATTAAGAAAATACGAGGGTCAGTCAAAAAGTTAGTTGCACTGCCTAAGAAAACAAAACAGGAACAAATTTTACAATAACTTTATTTATATCTTAAAGTTCCACTCAAAATCTACTTTTCAACGTAATAATTACCTCTTATTTAAGCATTTGTCAAGGCGTGGTACAAGTTTTTTGATGCCCTCTGCAAAGAAATCCTGTCCAATGTCCGATAACCAATGTTGGGATGCAGCTTTCCCTTTGGCATCCGAATGGTACCGTCAGTTTGAAAGTTCTTGTTTCATGGGACCAAACACATGGAAGTCAGGAGGTGAAAGGTCTGGGCTATAAGGAGGATGATTCCACATTTCCTCCCTTTTTCAGGTCACACGTTTGTTTTGCTGCATGTGGTCTTGCATTGTCATGCAGGAGCACAATGCTGTTTGACAGTTTACCCGGCCAGCGATTTTAAAGTGATTGTCGCAATCATTTTAGTGTTTCACAATAAGAAGATGCATTAATTGTGGCACCCTTCAACATAAACTCTGTATGCACCACACCTTTTCTGTCGAAAAACAGCATTATCATTCCTGCAGATGGAACAGTTCGACACTTTGTTCGTGTCGGGGAACTGCAATGTTTCCACTCAAGCAAGCTGTATTTCGTTTCAGGTGAGAAGTGGTGAATCCATGTTTCATCTCCAGCCAGTTTTGTCCAAAAACTCCTTTCCTTCCATTTGGTAATGTTGCAGAAATGCAAAAGCACTTCCAAAACACTTTCCTTTATGTTCCTCCATCAATAGACGTGGCACCCATCGAGCACAAACTTTACGAAATTTAAAGTGATCGGCAATAATTCTATGCACACTTCCATGAGAAATATTCAGTTCACTTGAGGTTTCGTCTATTGTTATGCATCTGTTTGCAAGAATGCATTCATTCACGTGAGCAGCGATTTCTGAATTTGTTGCAGTTGATGATCTTCCCTCGTGCTCAGCGCCGTCAATATCTGTATATCCATTCTAAAGCCTGTTGCACCATTTTGCAATAGCTTGACATGACATTGCATTTTCAACATACACTTCATGCAATTGCCCATAAATTTTAGTGCAGTTGCACTTTTTTGCCCACAAAAAACGAATCACTGCATTTCCAATTTTGACGCTATTTGCAGCTGTCGAGACATGTTTGCGACTAATTATCAGAAAAACTAAACTTGCCTCAGGAAAGCTGCTACGTTATGCGATAAAGGTACAGGTCTGAAGTGTTGCGAGACAATGTCATCCAAATAGTTTTAGACGGAACATATTTACGCAGTAGTGCAACAAACTTTCTGACTGACCTACATAAAAAAGATTCAAATTTGAGACCTGTCTTCTACAGAATAACAAGCAATAAATTATCTTTTAAGTTATGGAATCCTATCATCTAAAAAAGTGCAAACACAATATGCCCTGCTGAATATGGCTGACAAAGCAACAAGATTGGAACAATAACCTGAAGTTTGTAGTCATAGCGTTCCAGACAAAGCTTTCAATAAAACTGAAAGGTCTAATAGAACAATAGAAATCGGCAAAAGCTTTTTTTACGAAGCGCAGAAACAAAGTGGGTCGAATTCTGATTGTTTATGAAATAAACAGCCTTGAGTTCCTTCATAATTCTGCAAAAAGACTGGTTCAACTTTGATGGGATCTCCACTAACTTTCATGGTTTGATGGTAACTAACTTTCACAGTCAATGGGATAACACATCAGTACCTTTTACTGTTTGGTAATTATGAATATTTAATATTCATAATTCTAAAAAAATGAAATATTCTATTTCATTATTTTGGGAATTCCGGAAATCCATTAAGAAGAAAACAAATGGGAAAAAACAAAGGATGAAAATATAGCAAATTAAACAAAAATTATTGTATGAAGTAAAGAAGTACACTGAAGGTTGAAACCATGGTTGCAATAGGGAAGCAGATATTTAACGTTATAAAATTTTTATTAAGTTATTAAGATATTTAAGTTATCATCCTACCTTTAAAGTAACCGAAATTCCCAGTAATGTTTAACATACAAGTGCCAAAAATGTAATTAAAATCAAATACATGAAAACTTAATTTTCTAATTGATCAAAAACATGAAATAAAATTATCAAAATTAAAAAAATTTAATAACCGTATGATAGCAGAAAACAAAACACATTCAGTATTACACACAAACTCATACTTAAAAGCTCATTACCTAAATAATCTAAACAATTAATTTTATTTCTTTAACATGAAATTGTACAACATACAGATGGCAAAGTTAATTTTCATGTTAGGCTTTCATGTTAAGCTACTTTAAGGGGATCATAAATTTATACTGAATTATCGCATTTCTTCCTGTTCTTGTGCTCACCTAATGTAAGTGGTAGAATGCATAACTAGTAATTGGAAGATTGTCGTCTGATTCCTGAAGGCATTACTAATTATTTGTATTTTCTGCTTTAAGAAAAACAAAAAGTAATATCTCTACAGTGATGCTCAAACAAAAATAAGGTGGATGATTATTCCTGACCATAAAGATTTGACTGACCGGCCTCATACCTTTCCTCAGTTACTCTCTTAAGTTAGAGCAAATACAAAAAATTTGGTAAAAATATATTTCAGGGTGTTCCTTAGCGAAAAGTGGCGATTGGCCAGCAAGGCACAATTTCAAGATGGCTGCTAAACAAAACCAAAATTACAAATCAAAGAATTGTACCACGTACACATCGCATACGCATAACCGGTGTCCATGTACACATTGATCTACTTTCATTAAAAAAACATCAAGGAATTGCACAAACTACACTCCCTTGACTTTGTCCATGTACACATCGATCTATTTTCACTTAAAAAAATCACGAGAATGATGACATCATTTAATGTTAAAACAAAGTTACTCATCAAAATTGAACAAAATTTGTAACTAATCAAAGCTCAATAAACTGCATTTTAAAATGCACAATGAAATAACATAAAAATGGAAATTCATATTATCGCATATATGCACTACAAAAAGGAAATATTAACTTACTGTGTTTAGAAATTTCTGTCTTCAGTCTGTGACACACAAAATTCGTTAACAGCATCCAAAAACTTTCTAAAATTACCTCAACTAGAATATACATACTGCTGTCACCACATAAATTCAAAAAAAAAAAAAAAAAAAAAAAAAAAAAAAAATAAGAGTAAAAAATATCCTCTGTATTGCCGGACTGTCAGTGGCATTTCTTCGATGAACCTTTCTTGCGGCAAACGTGTTCAAAGCCATATGAACAATCTTTATGTTCAACCATATGCATTTCCTTCATACAAACAGGACATTTATAATGACTACTAAGTAAATCTTTATTTACACACCAGTCAATTAATGCTTTTTTCTCGTTTCATTCCAAATTGTACAGAAACATCACATTAATCTCATCACAAACAGCCATTTTACAGTGTCCAGCACAAAATAAGCAATGTACTTCTTAAATGATATCCAACACAGAAATAAGCCCTTACAAATTTTTTCTCGTCAGTCTCACTGCAATCACACAACCAATCTTGTCATAATAGAGTTTCCATAACATTCAACTACTCAGGTTACCATAAATGAAGCAACAATTTGGTGATAAATGAAACAACTTGTCAACACAGAAATAAGCACTTACAAATGTTTTCTCATCAGTCTCACTGCAATCATGCAACCAATCTTGTCATAATAGGGTTTACATAACATTCAACTACTCAGGTTACCATAAATGAAGCAACAATTTGGCGAAAAATAAAACAACTTGGCAATAATCCAAGGGGCATCCTAAAATATCGACTAATCATAAATTTATTTTATTCCCTTGTGCATGCTCTTATGGCATAATCTGTGGTTAAAATCCTGGTAAAGACACAGATGACTTTGGTAAAAGTATATTTTAGGGTACCCCTTGGCGATTTTTGGCGGTACATGGATACCGATTTTGTGCAATTCTTTGACTCGTTATCTTGGCTTGTGAAGCGGCGATTTCTGCGCAGAAAATCGCCGCTGCACAAAGCCAAAATAACAAGACAAACAACTGCAGAAACTCAGTATTCATGTACACATCGACTTATTTTCACTTAAAAAAAATCCCCGAATTGCACAAAAATGGCATTGCGCACTCCTTTGACCTTATCCATGTACACGTCGACCTATTTTCACTTAAAAAAAATCCCAGAATTGCACAAACTTGCATTGTGCACTGCCTTTACTTTGTCCATGTACACACCGATATATTTTCACTTAAAAAGTCAAAGGAGCACCAAATTCTACAATATAGGCAAACAAAAAATACATAATCTCAATAAAATACATTTTAAACCAAACAATAAAATAACATAAACAAGGAAAAATATGTTATACATTTAAGCACTACCAAAAGCAAATATTCACTTACCATGATTTTCGAGTTTGCTTCGTACCCTCAGAACCACGTAAAAATCAAAATATCAATCATACTCAAATGACTTTTTTTCAAACCAGGTACTTTTTCTGAATCGAAATGCTTCAACATAGTGACCATATGAAACCTTTCTTTACCTACAAACCCATTCAAATCCATCTAACTGGTTTTTACGTTCGACTAGACGCATTATCCTTCCTTACATACAGGACACCTGTAATGGCTACTAAGTAAACCTTCATTGACACACCAGTCAATTAAAGCTCTTTTCCCCTTTCGCCTCTAAATTGATACAGAAAATTCAAATTAATCTTACTACATTCGGCCATTCTACCGTTTAAAGAATCAAACCAACACACACCACAAAAACGCTTAAAAAGCATCCCATGATACAAAATTTCCCAGAATCATGCACCTGATTACGTCACAATAGGTTTTCCCATAACATTCAACTACTCAGGCTACTATAAATGAAACAACTTGGCGATAAATCAAACAACTTCGCCATACTACAAGAGTACCTTAAAATACTACCCCTGACTTTTTATACTTCCTCCCCCCCCCACGAAAAAAAAAAAACACTAATATTTCTGTAAGTTTTCCAATTAATTGCTCTATGGTATGTATTTGCAATAAAAATTCTCATTTACAGGATAGTATAATTTGAAATACAATTATTATTAAAAGACAACAAAATTATTTACTTATATAATGAAAAAAGAAAAGAACAAGTAATGCTGATTAATAACAATAACTGAGATACACTAATTAATACAAACAAATATTTTACCTCATCATTGTTGGTGCCTTTAAAGTTATGAATAGCTTTCACTAATAAAACTGGAGAGTCTGTTATCATTCTCGCAAGAAAAGGAAAAACATAATGTTGAAAGACAGCAAATAAAACTTTGTTTCCTACGGAGAAAAAAGTAATTTTTTTATGTCACAATTGATAATGTTATAAGAAAATATTCAAATAAATATTATAATCTAACTAGAAGACAGCACTTCCAGTACCATTAAATTATTTCAGATTCGGGGAGTAGTAGCAGTCAACAAACAGAGGAAAAAAGATTTGAGATACAAGGAATTATAAATAAAAATATCTTGTTAGAAATATTAATGTTAATATTATTATGTATTCTATTTATAATATAGATGTCTTTTAAACACATAATATTGTAACAGCTATTGATAATTTATCCCAAAGTACTTTTTACTTATGTTCTTACTGTAACCACAGTCTTTGGGATTTATTAAATTATTTGTATGACTTTTCCTCTCCATTTCCATAAGATAAAATTAGGAATTAAAAGGGGAGAAGACATGTGTAAATATGGTACTAAAAATACTTTAAAAATAGGTATGCATCATTTCTTTTTGAATCAGCAGTAGAATCTTATCCTTTCGACTTAATGATATCAGCATTTTATTGAAAATCAGAATCCCATACTCCTAAATCATCTTTATCTCCATTACACTATGCCTTCTGAACTACTGTGATTGCTAGAGATGCAACAGCTTTTAAACAAATGCTACAGTTATATTTCTAGGATAGCTTACCAGATGTTGATATACTTCAGCCAATCTTTAAGGCCATTGCTTTATTTTTCGAGGAAGTGCTAAAGGAAAATTATCAGTCAACAGCCAAATTTATGGTTCTTTTTTAAGTTGCTTTAAATAGCTTAATGGCTTGTTAATTGAAACTCCAAATGCCTATGGCTGGATAGTAATATTCATGCAAATTATAGCCCCTGCAGTTGTTATCCAACCACACAGTTAGATAACAGAAATATATCATTATGTTTTCACAGCATTTCAATTTTGATATGTTAGAACTCACTAAATGTATCATGCACCAATGTTAGAGGGAAGTTCTTTAAGACAACTATTCTGTACAATATCTACACAGTCTTCAACAAATAACTATTAGGTAATTTAATATGTTAATGACTCTAAAAACTTTGTTTCCAGAGACACTAATATGAAATATATATATATATAATATAATGTTTCATAAGAAAAATTGATTTAATTAATAAATTTAATTAAATACAAATTAGTTAAAAATTCTTTGCGCCATTGCTGCAAGGAATGAAATTTAAATTTAAACAAATTTACATTTAAATTTTAACAAACACGTATAAAAGTAAAAAGCAAATTTTTAAAGCCAAAATAAAGAAAAAAAAAGGCCAAAATAATTTTTAAAAAATTTTTAAAAATTGTGGAAACATATAAAAGATTTAATTCTCGAACTAATCTACAATATCATTTAAATTCAGAAGCATAAGCAAATCAAGTGCAAAACCAATCCATGAAAATAAATTCACTAATTTAGCAAATTAAAATTAAACCAAACAATTTTTTTTTTAAAAATGCATAAGTGAATGACTGTTGAGTAGGCAGGAGACAGACTTATCAAGAAGTTGCCTCCAAACCTAACTCTCCAATCATTCAATTCATGTTTCGTCATTCATGCAGGCAAGGGTAAAATTCAAAACCAAAAGTAAAAAGAGTTACCAATAAAGAGGTACCCTTAGAAATTAGCATTTAAGAATTAAAGTTCTAAAAGGAAAATACTAATGAAGTCTTTGAGAAACAAGCAATTAAAGTCAAGGATTAAATTAAACTTTTTTTTTAAATTAAATTTTTAAAAATATTTTATAAAATAAAAATAATCTAGAAACCAATGTATTTTAGAACCCTGTCTACAAAACCTCCCCGACACGATATGCATATCAATAAAAAGAAACTAAAAAAGAACTATCTAAGCCATATAAACCAATAAGAAACAAAAAGTACTAATTCACAATTTTTTAAAAAAACAAATATATATTTAAAAATATAATTTCATATTTAGAAAATACTTAAATACTACATACAAAAATTAAAAAAAAAAAAAAAAATACTTAAAGCAAGCAAATAGCAAGTTTCAATTCCAACCTACCTACCACATGAGCGTTGGGGTTTGCAAAAGTGTTGTTAAAGAGAAGTAAGAGTGTTCTTCAAATTATATAGATGGCGCCTATGCAGATAAAGCCGAGTGCCAAGCCGCTATTTTTGTTATATTAAAAATTTTTTGTAAACATTAATATTAAAATAAAATTAAATTAAAAATCCTAAAGGTAGTAATTATCAATTATTTAGGGAGCCAATCAAGAGATGTAAGTTTGCTTGAAGAAAAATAAAGTGGTATTGTGAATTAAAAAATGTAAACTGTTTGTAATGCGAAATGTGTGCCCTGCCGAAAAACTGTGCAAAAATTGTAAATAACGTCAAGTGAAAATTTTTTTTGTGTGAAAACTGCAAATTAAAGTAATTAAGTAAAACTAAAATGTTTTAAAATTAAAGTTTAAAAGTAAAATTTCCTAAAATTTTTTTAAACAAAGTCCTAAAAAACCTCTAAAAAAATTCCCAGAAATTCCTTAAGGAAGTTAATTAAAAGTTATATTTAATGAAGGAAAAAATTAAAAGTTTAATGAACTTGATTTCAAGTGGTATATCAAAACTTAACTAATACTGGCTAAAGTTGGAAATTAAAGAAGAATTAAAATCTTCACTCAATTGATTTGACTTTTGAAAAGAGTTGGCCCTTTATTAGTAAAAGGAAAGAATCCAGTATTGATTAAATATACATATTTACAATAAAAATTTACAAGATATTTCTTTACTCTGCTATATCCTTCATTACCCTCCAGCTAAGGTTAAGGTAATGTTATCATATCCAAAAGAGCCAAAATTATAAAGTAAGTCAATGCCTGCCTTTTTAATATATAAATTAATAAATTTTGGTGGTACTTGGTTATCAACTAGAACATTAATTAGCTTTATTATTTCTTCTTCCTTAAATTGTCTATTTCAGTACATTATTTTTTATTCTGATTATTTGGCTATGAAATGTGTTTTCTATTACTTTTCTAGAGATATAGAGTTCCAATTAATAGTTTTAATAGTATGAAATGAGATTCCTTCTTTTCAAATAATTTTAATTTTGCTGTGTTTATAATTTGCAGGTGTAGGTATTCAGTAGATTTGATTCGTATTCGTTTTATTAAGTGTAACTATTTTGGGTAAATTTTGAATTGCTCAAAAGTAGAATTATTATTGAAAGTTATATATCATCTATTTCTAAAAGTATGAGCATAGCTTTAATCATTTTTATTTAAACTTAGTTGGAATTTATAATTCAAAGTAAAATAAATAGGTTACATTTGTGTAGATTGTTGGCTCCCATAGGAATTCCTCTACTTGCTGAAAGACTATTATTGAATTAATTAGTTATTAAATAATGGCACAATTCAGATAAGTATCCCTCTTTCAATACAAGGATGTCAGTATGTCAGAAAAGTTGTGGAAGTTGCATTAACTAGTAAAATTTCTTCTAATGGTAGAGAGTATAAGGTTTTCAAAGTCATAGCAGTTAATGTTCTCGATTGTTAAATTTTTAAAACTGCTGAGAACTGGAGCATTATTAAAAATAATCCAACTATAATTGTGTTGTTTGTTAACGAGTTGTTTATATACTTATATCTAAAAATAGAGAAATACAGTAGTAACAAAAATATTTCATAGTCATTTAATACAAAGTCATAGTCATTCAATACAAATGTATATAAGAAACTAAGTAATTTAGCAGTAAAAATGAAATCTAAAAGTACATTGGCCACAACAAGTAAATTGATTTTCCAATTCACACATCAACCTCAAAAGCATCAAGGTACCAGTTATTAGGTGCTACTTATGAATAATGGATACTTGATTATCTAGTACCTGCAAATACACATAAAGCAGCATATTTGCTCCTTTTGGCAATAAAAATGACTTATTTTGTTTTCTAGCAAGTATTGTTCAGAAATCACATTCAAAATTGCCTCAAACCATTAAAATGAATGAATAAATAAATACAATAAAATTAAAAAAATTCCCTCACTTTTCCTTAGCCCCTTTCAAAATGAAAAAGAATGTGAACAAAAAAGAAATAAAAATGTTATTTTTGTATAAGAATTTAGAACAGTTAATGACTGTTAAATGCTTATGTGAATCGGAGTCATGGGTTAATATTTTTGGCAATATATTAGTGGGTACTGGATAAAAATAAGTACTAGGACAAAATATAACTTTAAACTTTTGAAATAACTAAATACAAAAGGTCACTACTTTTAAAGTATCTGAATACTCTTGGAAGGTACTGGATTTTACCATTAATGTCACAGCATCAGTTCGGACAGGTATGAAAAGAGACATTTTCATAATGATCACAGAAAAGAAAATTGTAAGAGATATATAATCTAAATGACTAATTAGGTGTTACTGTTGTGGAAAATCCATTAGCAATATTTCTGCCATGTCACATGTTTCTAGTTTTGCCATAAATGACATTTTAATAAAGTAGAAAAAATGCATAACATGTCATCTGTTTCACAGAGATATGAAAGTGCTATAAAAATTATGAAACAAAACTTCATGGTAATAGATGACATTCCCTATTGAGATAAGCACAATAATAATCATCCCAAAGGCCTAATGTTTCAGCATGTTAAATTTGATAGTAGTGGAGCCATGACATGAGCTATAAAATGATGAATCTCATTACACAGGCAGTCTGATGAACATATGCAGATGAGACTAGAAGAGAAACACGCTAATGTGACAATCAAAATCGTAAAACAACCTTGTATTTAGCGTAGGTATAATGAAACACTCAATCGATTTCGAGGGCAGCTAAAGGTCTCTCCTCATCAGGAGAAAGAAATACCTAAAAGAAAAATAAAGAGAAGGAGTCCAGAACACGTGGTCCTTATCAGCACTGCACGTGGTTATAACTGGATTTTTAATCAGAGTTGCACTGGCCACCTACTTTTACGGAGCCAGGCTATCTGATCAAGCATAAAGGACAAGAAAAATTTGAAGTTCAGATTTTGAGCGTGAAGGTGCATTTGCCCCTCGCTCCTATTTAACTTCGCTGATTTTCTTGTCCTTTATGCTTGATCAGATAGCCTGGCTCAGTAAAAGTAGGCGGACAGTGCAACTCTGATTAAAAATCCAGCTATAGCCACGTGCAGTGCTGATAAGGACCACGTGTTTCTAAGACTCCTTCTCCTTAATTTTCTTCTTTCTATATTTCTTCTCCTGATGAGGAGGGACCTTTAGCTGCCCTCGAAATCGATTGAGTGTTTCATTATACCTACGCTAAATACAATCAAAAGTCGTTAATCCGGACTCATCGGGACTTCGGCGATTCCGGATTATCGATTTTTCGGATTATAGATCATCAGTTTAAAATCGCGAAAGATGGCATGCAGAAATTCTAAAATTAAAAATATGAAACCGTAATTTATGAAATAAAGAACAATTATGATCTAAAGGGATCAAAATTTGCAAAAAGAAAAAGCGTTAATATTTATTTGTTTACTACTTTATTAAACATTTCTTTCAATGTAAGTTGTTTAAGTTTGCTTCGTTTCATGTGATAATACTTTCTCTTTAATTCTATAAACAGACATAATTTCTTGTTCAGTTACAAAGTTCCGCTGTTCAAGTCCTATAATTTGCTGTGTCGAGACACCGACTAATTTGTCAATCGAAATTTTTTTGTTTCAATAACCTCTGTCACTTTTCTTCGCTATCGGAAGCGAATTATAATACGAGAACTTGTTTTAAATCATATCAAAGACGGAGCATATCGAGATGAAATACTACCTTTGGTAAGGAATTATAAGCCAAATAAAATAAAAACATCTGTGCTTAAGATAAGGATAGTGCTGACAGATCACTTCCAATTCATTACGCGCCTGCCGCGGCGTTCCCCCCCCGAGCACGTGAAATTGAATAAACAATTTCGATTTCAAAACATACTTTCGCTTTAGATCCTTTACATATTAAACAGTATATATCGGAAATTTCTATTTGATATAATCGAAGTTTAAGCTTACTTTTTAAAATTTGCTCTTACAGTCTGCAAAAAATAATGAGCCGGATCCAATTCGAAAATTAAGGAACAACGCAATCATCAACATTAACTGAATAGATAATTAGATATTTTAGCTTATACGTCATTATGCATAAACGCGCACGCGAAAACGTATTCGCACTTGCGCACACTCAATGCGCATCGTAAAAGGTCTTATGCGCACCATAAACCCTATGCGCATGTCTCAATGCGGCGCATGCGCAGAAGTTTTTAGTTTTGAGGTCCGGATTATAGATCACTCCGAATTAACAACTTTTGACTGTACAAGGTTGTTTTTACGATTTTGATATGCAGATGAGTGTGGAGGCTAGGTGAACAGTACTTATCCTACTGTATTGAGCTCAGAGTGAAATATGACAGTGGGAATATAATCTTTTCGGCTGACTATAAGCAAAATCATTAAAAGTTAGTGAATTTGCTAACATAACTGACACATACTAAAAACTAGAACTCCTCTATGAGGTACTTTTCCGTTTCGCCGGCACAAACGATAAAGTCGCCAATAATGGTACAACTGATGCCAAACGGCATATCTTCGCTGGTAACCTTTTACGCTTCCTTTTTCAAAACAAGTTGCAAACAAACTTTTCTTATTAGATTGATTGTTTATTTCAATACTGGCATATAATCGCATAGAATGTTTACAAGATAGTTAAATTTTATGCACCAAGACCATTCGCGGTTATTAAGTCAATTCGAATGCAATCACACTAAAATCAATTCGAATGCAATCACACAAAAGGCGAAAATATAAAAAAGGCAAAATCAAGGGTTAAATTCACCAATTCTAACGAGAATGCACTAGCGAAGTGAAGCACTGCGGTTTTACATAATTTCGAGTAAGCTATTCGTACGAATTGAATAATTCTCGCATTTCAACTGTATTCCAAATTAAGATTTCACATGAAATTACTGAGAGAATGATTTTTGGAGCGTAGTTTATGTGAGATAGATCACTTCGGGTTACGTGACACGAACCGCGAACCAGGATGTTGAACCATGAAAGCATAGCAAATTCTTAAATTAATGTCTTTTTACAAATTTATTGTCTTTATTTTCGCTTTTTACAAAATTTTAAACCATATTAAAATGTTTATGCCTTCAAAATAAAAAATTCTTAGAACTAACATATTTTATGTGTATACTGTATGCTGTCGCCAACAAAGTCTGCTTGGCAAGATTTGCGCCGGCGAAACGGAAAAGTACCCTCTATTACTATCTTATTCCCATAATACCTTCCACAAATTCTTAATTCATAATTAATATGAAAATTGAAACTTTACATCACATATTAAATACAATAAAATTTACTTTAAATTCTATTATCGTATAAAAATTTAATGTGAACCACAATTAAAATTAATGGAACTTTTATCCTGTAAAACACATACGAAAAAAAAAAAAAAAAACAACTTAGGAATATTCTAAGAAACATTAAGACACACACAAAAAATTATATTTAAATCAAAACATACAGCTTAAAAAAAGCGCCTGAAAAATATAAGAAATTTTAATGACATTAAAAACACTGCAAAATTATATATTACTTTTAAGGTTTCTTCACAAATACGTATTCAAATAAATTTAATTTTCTAAAGAAAAATTTAATTGGCTTGTTTAGGGAAAAACTGTAGTGTATTGTGGAATAAATCAGCATAATCTGTTTTACAACACCATTTCTATTACTTTCAGATGGATATTCGAATGTTTAATAATACAAAACAATGTTTCTTATGATTCTGAATGTTCTATGCTACAAAATGTTATTTATATACATTCTTTTGATTGCTCAATTATTTCCACAAACAGAGCTGATATCTAATATTTACAAATAAATACTTCATGACATCGCAATTATATAGTTTTGAAAAATAAGAAAAGTATCAAATGCATTAGGTAACTACAAAACATAGAAAATAGTAAGTACCACTTACTAACTCAGCAATAACAAGAATAAATAACGTATTGTTTCCGGAATGAATGGTTTAAACATAAATCTAAAAATGTTATCAATTCATAAAAAAGATAACTGAATAACATAGTGGATGAAAAGTGGCAACATATGATGATATGTACATAACGTGAAAAAAATAACTGTCCCTTACAACACTTATCAAAAATCAACAAAAATGACGGATGCGGTTATTAAGTAGCAAACGGTTATGATCAAAGTGAAAAGCTAAAGTTATCATTTTAAATGAATTATTTGTGCCAAATATTTGCAAGTCCACGTAAAAATAAGAAAAATTTATTTTCACACCACAATTATTATTTTACGGAGTTATTCATTCAGATTTAATTTACATCACGCTTCAAAGAAAACCAAAACAACAGTAAATAAGAAGCAAAATTTGACCTCAACACGCATGCGTTTGGTTTCGTCTGTGCTCAACCAGTTCGTCGGCTAATGTACTTCGCGGCGTGAGGAAGCATTTAATCGGCGATTTCGAAGCAAACATGTGTTTAAATGCACATATAATTTAGAGAGCTGTGCTTTGCTATATTGTTTATTTTTAGTAGAATAAATTTAAAGAATTGACTGCATTTTTTTTAAAAATTTGTAATTCATTTTGTAATTTGAAAGCAACGTACAAAATTTTGTTAATTTCAAAATGTGCCTGTAGTAATATGTTTCTTTTCTTGTAGTTTGAGGCCGTATAATTTGCTTTTCATTAATATAATGTGTTTTAATGGAATATTGTGAATGAACAAGTTCGGTGCATGTGAACATATCCCAAACTTTAAAAAAATTTGATAAATATATGAAAATGATGGCGGAGGATGAAATTTTATTTGATGATGTCTACGAATTGCGAGAAATTATTGGCAAGTAAGTAAATCATTTTTGGTGCTAAGTTGGTAAGTTGTGTTATATTTTTAATGAAAAATACACCAGGTTGTTTAAAATATAGAATTTTAATCTTGTTTTTATTTGTTCCTGAAATCATAAACCAGTTCATTTCAGAACTGCTTTTATGTGGTAGTTTAAAAAGTATTTTGACATCGTGTGAATTCACATTACATTCTGAAATTGTCTTTGAAATACAATGAAGTTCATTCAGTTATATTTAAGTATATATTGAGCTGTGAAAGTTGTTGGAAGTAGTTAAACACCTTTTCACTTAAACACCTTTTAAGGCAATACACTGCTAAATATTTTATCTTGATTTCTATTAAGTATATTGAATTTCTTACTGTAATAGAACGATACTAACAATACTAGTCAGAGAGAAGTAATGTTTTTTAATAATAAGCATTTTCATATGAATGATAATGAACATTTTCTTTCTTTTCATGACGACTCGTATGTGTGTGTGTATATATATAGAGAGAGACAGAGTAATTACGTTAAATGGCTAAAACTTAAAGTGCTTTCCAAAGGAATGTGAAATATTTTTTACAACTTCTTGGGTTAAGTTTTTTAAAAAAACTGAGGCTAAAGATAATATACATGGTTCTGTTTTTTAAGATACTTTTGCTTGGCTGCATAGTTTTGCAACATCATGTAATGTAATGTTGATAGTAAATTTATAACAAATAGCTATGTTCTTATGAGAAAGTTTCCGTGAACTTTCTTTTTTTATTACCCAAGTAGAAAATTTTTTGTTTTGTGCATTTTTCTTACTGGTGTTAAATGAAATTTGATTTCATTATCTCTATTAGTTTTAATTGTACTACTGTGAGCAGTATTTGAACTATTTTGCTTCTAAATAAATAATCTTGCATATAGAAAAAAATATCAAATTTTTTAAAACTGATTTTTTCAGGAAGGCATTGGTATAAAAAATTCATTAAGACAAAAATGATTAATATTGTAAATGCATTGAGATAAATGGGCAGTTTTGTTATATTTAAAGCTGTAAGTGGACATGAATAAAAATATAAAACTGTATATAAATGTATATATGGATATATATAAAAATGTAATAATGTATATAATGTATATATAATAAAAATGTACATATAAGTTATTTAACTGCATATATAAATTTTGTAATTGTTCTTTAACGGAACAGTAACTTCTGTAAAAAATCCCAGTGATGCCTAATAAGCTTTAGTAAATTATATTTTTCTATGTTGACACTAATTATATATATATATTTTTAAATGTGTTTTATTAATAATATTCATTATATATGGAAACTGTTTTTCAGAGTAACATTCTTGTTATCAGTTGTGTAGCTGTTCTCATGAAATATTGTTTTTAAACTATAAATTATAAACAGTTAATCTAAAAATTAATTTATAAAATAGATATTCACATACTCTTCTAAAATTTGAGATTCATATTTAATCTGTTTTCATTATTTATATTCTAAAATTTAAAAATAATATTTCGTATTACATGGATTTAAAAAGTTAAGCTATGTATATTTTTTCTTTATGCAAAAGAATGCATGAACAATTTATATATTAGTTTTAAACACACTTTTGCATTCATAGAGTTTAATATTTAATTATGAGATTTATATAATTTTACTTTATTATATTCAAATATTTTATTTATTATCTTAAAATCTTTTAATTAACATTTTACAAATCATTCAATTAAATGCATTCATTCAAAAAAATTTGTGTATTTATGTTTGAATGTACTTTTTGATTGTTTAATAGAATACATCCGTTACATTTATGTGAGGATATAATATTCGCTGATGTATATATATTTGATGCATTTGAGAAATATGCTGCCCATTGTTTTGAGGGAGGGGGTAGGTGAATAATATTTCATTTTTATAAAAATTTGCTGATATCCATGTGTGGTGGTTAGTACTGGCTGATGGTTTCCCATGCCTTTGCGACTGAGTCACACATTCCACAAAGCCCTTAAATCATTAATTATTTTTTAAAAAATAAGAAATTTATCTTAATATCAATTTCTCACTTTCCAAATCTGCCATTTGAAAGAGAAGTGCAAGATCCTCGGATTTCATCCCTCAGTGGCCCATCACATCAATAAAACCTAGGATACAGCTTAAGCAGGTAATTCTTATAGGTGTTATCTAAATTAAATAATCCATTCAAATCTTAAGAAACTTGCAAGATGAAGGATACTTAATATTTTATGTAATGATAAGAATAATTCTCAGTCATATATGATGGATTATGCATGTCTTTGATATCTACCTTATCAGTTATACTTGTCTTTTATTACTGCTCTTACATTAAGTAACTTATAAATGAAAAACTGCTTTTTTTTTTTTTTTTGGTTTTGTTTGCTTATACTGAAATTGATACATATCATTTTTGCATACTGTTATATCATAAATAGTAATTGCTATTTTCTTTTCTACATAATATTGACTACTTTCAAGTAATCAGTATTATGTAGAAAGCTAAAGTAAGTAGTAGGTAGTAGTAACTAAAAATGAGAATTTTTTTTAAGAAGAAAATTAATTCAAATCTGTTCCTGTCATAAATCAAAAAAATTCCTGTCATAGCTTTAAATATATATTACTAATTCACTTTTTATTGTTGTATTTTAATTTTTGGTTTTGCTGATTATTCACGTTTCTAAAATATCGCAAAATGTATTTTTTAATTAATTAATAAGTTGCTTATCTATTGGTGTAAATATATATAAAAAATAGAAAATATCTGCTAGTAGCATTTATAAAATATCAATGTAAAATCAAATACTGTAAAAATTTTTAATTAAAAAGCAAATGTGTTAAATAAACTTAAATATAATGAATGCAAAAATTTTGGAAACTAATTACTAGGTGTTTATAGCGCAAATCGCGCTATGTTCTGCTCCAGTTTTAGGTCCTAAATCGCGCGTCTCAAAAACGCATTCATAACGTCTTCGTTTGATGTAATCCTGATTGATTCTCGATAAGCCACGTTGTTTTTTGAACAAGAATATAAATTAACAGTTATTACTGTATTTTTTCCTTGCATTTTGGGAGGGGGGGAAAGAAATTAAATTTTGTAGCTCCTTTTACAGAACAGCAAGTAGTGGATTATTTTCCGTGTGATGGAACCCTACCATTAAAAAAAAAGTGTGAATTAATGGACGCGATATTGTCAGCTGAATATGGCCGACAAAGTAATAGATTGAAACAAGTGCGTGTGAGAAGTTCTCAGCGTTCTATAGAGCTTTGGGTAAAATCAGAGGGCCTAACAAAATAGTGGAGATCGACGAAAGCCTTTTCACGAAGCGGCTATTATTACTGACGCATCTCCTTCAGAATTCTGCTAGAACTATTAGCGAAACTTTGGCGAGATTACCTACCAACTTTCACGGTTCGACGGTAGCTAACTTTTGCGATCGACGGTATACTTTTTTAAATTAGCTACATCATGAATTCAGAGCATATTTATTTAAATTAATCATTTAGGAAAAAAAAAAAAAAAAAAATATATATTTTTAACTGCATCTCTTGCTTTTAAACAACGTAGTTTGTTAATCAATAGGTTTGAAAGTTAAATATCGTATGTTTTGCCGAATAAGACGCGAATGAAAAATTAACGCATTTACAGTGAACGACATTTGAATTAAATGAACGCAAAACTGTGTTTCGAGACTAATGGCCCATTTGGGCTAAAAATTTTATTTTTATCATAACGCATGGAGTTCAAATTATATATTATACGCTTACTTCCTGAATGTGACTAGAAAACAGGAATAGTCTAATAACGATTCTATATACCGTAAGAAAAACTTCGTTTTCAATTTACACAAAACTTATTATTTAAAAAGGATTTAATTAAAATAATAAAATTACGTGGATTTTCAGTCTTTCCTCTGCAGTTTCGTTCTTTGTAAACCATTCCATTAGGATAATATGACTTCTACATAAAGCACTGAAATATATATTACTAATTCCCTTTTTGGTACTTTTCCGTTTTGCCGGCGCAGGCGATAAAGTCGCCAATAATGGTAACTGATGCTAAAGGGAATATCCTCGCTGGTAACCTTTTACGCCTCATTTTCAAAACAAGTCGCAGCCATTTCTTATCAGATTGATTGTTTCTTTCAATACCGGCATACAATTGCATAGAATTTTTAACACATAGTCCAGTTTTATGCCCTAAGGCAGTAACGTAGCAAGCATAACTGGTGCCCGGGGCAAAATACCTTTTTGGCGCCCC